GAAGTGTCGCGATCGGAACAGCCCGCCCATCTCGCTCTCAATCTCCGCCCGCCTGTTGGCAGCCAGCTCAGCGGCCAGACTGCCGCCGCTGCCGTCGGGGCCGGCAGCGCCAGCGGCGGCGGCCGCCGCGGCAGCGGCCGCCGCCGCTGCCGCTGCCGCGGCGGCGGCGGCCGCCGTCGCCGGCGGCGCCGCTGGCCCTGCCTGTGCCGCTGATCCTGACGGCATTTGCCCCCCCGTCATCTTGGGCGAGCAGAAGGCATCACACAGAATGTTGACCTGCGACGTCGGCGGCCCGTGTACGGCAAGAGGTAAGGTAGGGGAGATATACCTGTGATATATTGATACTTATCATCTCTATATTGTTTATGTGGACTATATTTTATAGTCCACATAAACAATACAGAGACATAAGAGGTGTTGTTGGTGTTGCTGGTAGTGGTAGTGGTGGTGGCTATGGGTTCAGCCGCACCACCGCCTACCACGACTTGCAAGCCCCCAGGAACGGGGGGGAGAGGATGAGGAGGCGGCCCCAGAGAAAAATACTATTGAAGTGGCCCCCTCACGACCTTTCAGCCCACCACACCGCCCCATGCACACGCAACAACCGCATCAACACCTCTCCCCCCCCAACGGGGCTATCTTGCTCCATTCCCAAGGCGCTGTCTAACACACGTCTCGGAGCCGAGGTATACAATACGGGTTTGGACTCCACATCCCTGTTGGAATCCAACACCATCACCACTATCACCATATCCATATCACCATCACCCCCACCACCCCACCAACACCATCACCAACACCTCACCATTGTTCATGCAACCCCGACCCACCCCGGGGTCGCCTCCATCAGCCATGGCCCCCCAGATCGGCACCAGCCCACTCGCCCCCCACAGGGCCCCTTGCTGCCTTAGGACTGCAACCCACTACAAAGTCATCAACGGATACTTCCATTTACATTTTTTGTTTTATTTTTATTTTCTGTTTTGTTTTTTGTTTTTATTTTTTCATTCTGCACCAGCCATCACTTCCACTGCCACCTCCGAAGCATATACACACAACCCGCGTACCAGTGTGTCGTACAAGCACTCGAAGAACATGCGGTCCTGTTGTTGCTTGTCGTACGAGCTGTACTTCAGGATGATCTGCGAGTAGATGGGACTCAGCTCCAGCCGTTGCTGCTCCATTTCCTGAGGGGAGGGGCGAAAGGGGGGACAGAGGGGGGCATGTGTAATTTCCTCATTCTGCTCGGAGATTGCCTGTCGTACAAGGTGAGCATGAGCACAATGACTGTGCCGTACAAGCGTTGTGCCATGGCACAAGCGGCGGCGGATCATGTACCACCGCGGTTGATGACAGTTACCGTTAACAAAAGTTGGTCGCGATCTATATATACAACTGACAAGTAACCACCTTTTGCAAACCACCCTTTTTTGCCGGCCGGCTTCTGCAAGTGCCACACGCATCCCCACCGCACTTTTCCCCCTACCCCTACCTCCCGGGTGACGTGTGACGTGCGCATGCATGCATGTATGTATGTGTGGTGGAAGCTCGTTCCGCTGCACGTCCTTCCCACCCCCCGAAAGCCCCCACCGCCCCCACCGTGCTTTGCCCTGCAAACCCGCCACGCTCTGCTGCCGAACCATCACACCTCCCCTCCAATAACCTTAACGCCTTCCCCCGCCTTCCCCCCAAATACTCCTCCATCTCCAGCCACCCGGGCCAGGAGGGTAGGGGGTTTGCACTCATACCCGACTACAGAATCCCACTTCCCCCCATACACCACGTACCTGCCCTCTCTCCCCCCTCCTCTCCCCCCCCACGCTCTCTCCTCCCCTTGGGCTCCCTCGCATAGGGCCCCACTAGCACCCGCCCGCCCTCACAACCCCCCTCGACCCCACCTCCTCAAGCTCCAACAACCTCTGAGCCACCGCGTACGGGTTGTAACCGTCCAGGTGCTGCTTACGGGCCTTATCCATGGCCTTGACAATCCAACTGTGTAGGAGGGGGGGGGGGAATTTGGGGGTTTCGGGTTTCGGAGGCGCAGGTTCGGGGCTTGGGTGGGGACTATTGCGTCCGGGGTGGGGTTGGGGTGGGTTGTGCGGGATGTTCCGGTGTGAAACCCCCGTCATCCCATCCTCCCCGGCTTTCACCCCCCAGCTCACCCCAAACACTCAGCTGCCTCAGCTGCCTCAACACACAAAGGACCCCTTCTCCCCCCAGCGCCCTTTAACCTGGTAATGCTGGTCGTTGTCTCATTTGGCTGATCTCTCTTCTCCCCTCCCTACCCCCTGCCTACCCCAGGGCGCTGGGGGGCGCCCCCCTGGAGGGGAAGAAGGTAAGGCCCTCGCCACACACATATACACACACCCCTCACAACCGGGCGACATATGTGCCCCCTGTGGTTTTTTCCCCTTGTTGTAACCACCCGTAGCCGTACGGCCAGTCATACTAGCAGCCGCAGCAGTGGCTACACCAGCATCTACGCTACAGCAGGGGTACGGCAGCGGCAGCAGCAGCAGCAGCACTCACTCGTGCATGAAGCGCGATGTGAAGTACAACAGGCAGGCGTTAAGCAGGCTGTCGTACAGCGGCCCCGCAAAGAACTTTTTGAAGTGGGTGGGTGTGCGGTCGTCCAGAAGCTTCATGACGCGAGCTTTGCTGTTTCCCAGGTTGAAACTGCGCAGTTAAGACGGTGAGGGGTGGGGTGGGGTGGGGTGAGGGTGAGGGTTGGGAAGGGGAGAAAGGGGGGACGGTATAAGCAGAAGTCAGGGGTGTGGGGATGACGGGGGGACAGGGAGGGCCATGGAGGGGTTCCAACTACACAGAGCCCTATGCTGGGGTGACACTAAGGGTGATAAGAGGTGACATCGCCGCTACGGTGTACGTCAGGGAAATGCGTGGATGTGGGTCGCAGGGACTGATGTGGCTCATGTGGAAGGGGGAAGAACAGCCAGATGCCTGGGTTAAATAAAGAGTGAAGTGCGGGTTTCCTGACAATTGTTTTATTCTTTCTGGGAGACTTAGGTATAGGTATAAGCCTATATCCTTGGATTGTTCCATTTCAATATACTATTTGGTTATGCGTGGCAGAGTCAAGGTTAGGGGGGAAGGGGGTTTGGGTTTTGGCATGGAAGCCAAGCCGTTTTGTGTTGGTTGTGCGAGAGCTGAAGTGCCGGGTATTTAGTACTCACTCGAGGTCGTTGTGGGTCTTTCGAGCATTGCCGGTAATGGGAATGCTGACGCTTCCATGGGTGCGGTCCTTGCCAGTGCTGCCCGCCTTGTACGTAGAGCTAGGTGAGCCCGTCCGGCCGACCGATACTGATGGCAGGAGACTCGCCATATGGCCCCAGGCCGCGGTCCAGCGCCCACAACGTTTCTGAGTAATAACGTCCCGCGACCGTGTGCTTATAAGGTGCCTTCGCGACAGAAGCCCCCGCACAGGGCGGCAACGGCTCAGATGCCCATCTTAGGTCACCAACATCGCTTTAACATTCAATCGACAGACATATAAAGCCGATTATTGAAAAAGGCGTGTAAATATAAGAGTTCCTTGTAATTGTTCGAAGGCTCAAGTCTTTGGGGATGAAGAGACTAACCCAAGCGTCCAGGTAGTATTTAAGCGGATGTTTTCTAATCTACGGGAAGCTTTCAAAAGGCCATTGAAGCAGCATAGGGTGTAAGGTATTGGTCGTACTATCGGTACAACATATGTTGTCATGTATCTCCTTCATGCATGGTCGTTTGCAACAGAAATGCCTTACCACTGCAGGCACCCGCCAATGCAAGAGAAAGGACCAGCTGTCCTTCACGCTGTTTTACCTAGGTTTGCTTGCGACTCGGAGCTGCTCACAACTGCACAATATGATTTGAGGTTGATTTATGTACCGATATGCATGGCTCGTTCAAAGACTCTACATCCTTTATGATGGGCCCCTAGTAGTTGGCCTGATATCGATATCTTACCATGCCAGCTTCCCTAACGCCGTGGGCCCCAAGTGATAGGGAGCCTCAAGAAGTGGAAAAGAGCCCCAATGGGCGTTACATCAGGGTAGGTGTTTCGGGTCCTCTTATTATGGACCCTCCCGTCGGTCGACGACAGCTGGCACCTTCCTTTGCCCGTTTGGACATACCACGAACATCCCTATTATCTGTTCCGGACGCGGTCCTATCGCTTCTCTTTCGCTCTTGGAGGTACAATGCAGGGCCAAACCTGTTTATGATGGCTTTTTCCTGCGCAGTATAATATCCTCCTGGGCAAGGGGGCATGTAAGCGTGTATATAAGGCGTTGGACACGGAGGAGGGGCTGGAGGTTGCCTGGAATCAGGTCCGTATGGTCCCGAGTCCACCTTTTTCTTGGTCAGACAGGATCTAAACACGAGACTCGATAATTTGATATCAAGTATGTGCGGTCATCGCGTTCCCGTCGCTTGTTGCCACGTCGCACCTGGGCGACAGCAGTTGGTCGGACTCTGCACACATCGCGATGCCGGGCACGGGCACTCCCGCTCAAACGTTTCCACCTGTGCCGACTCTATATCGCTTGAGGAATCTGTACGTAGCATACTTGCTGTAAGATTACCATGTCGTAACCGCACCCCAGCGCAGCACACCTAGCAAAATATGGGCACGCATTCTCAATCAGAACCAAGAACCCAGCCGTGCGTCGTCCATACCTCGGTACCAGCAGCAGCAACCATACCTCCCAAGCTACACCCCCCTCTCCACACACCACCTCCTCCCCTCCCCAAACCCCATCATCTCCTTCCCTTTCCCCACGCCCACTCCTCCTTCCTCTGGATCCCTCCTCCAACTACAACTAGTTGCCGCTGACCCGCAGCGCTCTTCTTCCTTTCCCACCTCCTACACGGTATTATCGCACTCGCGACTCTCGGGTTGAGCTTACATCGAGTACGCGCCGCCAAACACTCGATTGGCGAACTCGGGAACATCTCTCGATGTCTCTCCATATCGTTATCGTTTGTATGAAAAATGGTACAAAAATGGTAATAGTAAAATAATAATAATAGCCCATTACAATGTATACCCACCGCAAAAGTCACATCCCTTGTCCTTGCTGGTATTTCGGACTCCAAACGGCAATTTTCCACCCTTTGTTTCTTCTTAGGTTCTTCTTGCGGCGCCATCATCACCACTTTATATGACTTCCGTTCCTTCTCCGACCGTTCTTGGACAGGTGGACATGTTGGGTATGGACCGGGACGAGGAGGCGCGGCAGCACCTGCAGGAGGAGATCCGCGTGCTGCAGCAACTCAAGCACAAGAACATCATGACGTGAGGAACAGGGGGGAATAGGGGGGAAATAGAGCCCTGTGTGCCGGCGGGGGTGGGGTGGGGGGAGAGAATGAGGGGAGTCCATACATGAGGGCGATAAGAAGAGAGAAAGAGAGAGGGAGAGGGGGGGAAGTACGGAAAAGGCCTTCATGCCGCGGCCGGGGGGGGGGAAGCTGCTCTTATCCCTCCCGCCCAACTTTGATTGGACTCCCTGGAGTCGTAGCAGCCCTCTGGCACTGAGGACGTCAGCGAAAAGGGTAGTTGATAATACTCCCGTCGCATTCTGGCACGGCGTGTCCGGAGTGCCCTTCTCCGTCAATGGACTGACTGGCTCGACCATGTGGACCATGGCTGACTGACGACGGACGGACGGACGGACGGACGGACGGACGGACTGATTAATTGATTGATCCCACATTTCGCCTTTTTGCGCCCATCACATCAATACCATCACAATACATCACACCCCTCCCCGCGACAGGTTCTATGCGTGGTGGTACGACAAGAACAACCTGCACATTAACTTCATAACGGAGCTCTTCACGTCTGGCAGTCTGCGGCAGTGAGTGTGTCGTACTGGGCCTGGGGCTGGTGCTGGTGGGGTAAGACACGAACCACTGGTGAATGGAGCACAGATACCAAAGACGGGTAGTGATGGTGGGGGCGCCTGTAGTGGGGCCTCTCCTCCTTTGGGCGTGGATCAGGAGGGAAAGGGAGGGTTGGAGTGAGGAGGAGGAGGGGAAGGATGGAAACGGAAGGTTGGGGACGGAATCCAACGGGGTATGGGCGCACGGCGGACGAGGCCGGAAAGGGTGACGGAGGGAGAGGGAGGTCTTGGTCGCTGTGGGTGGATCGGTGGAGAGGGGGTCTATGTGATGCCGGTGGTGTACGACCGACTAGGAAAAGGCGGTCTCATGTACCAGTGTACGGTGGTAGGTGTAGGTGCCTCATCCGTCTCCCTCGCTAGCGCAGTCTTCCACCGACTAACTTCCACTGACTGTCAACGGTCAACGGTCTATATTTCCCTCTCCCTCCCTCCTGCTCCCTCCCTCCCTGCCCGCCGTCCCCTCAGGTACCGCAAGAAGCTCAAGATCATGAGTGAGAATGTGCTCAAACGCTGGGCGCATCAGATCCTGGAAGGTGAACGCCCGCATGCACCCCTGGCAGGATGCCTGTCTGTCTGTCTGTCTGTCTGCCTTGCTTGAGTTAGCGAGCTGAGAGGTAGAGAGCTGTAGCGCCAGCCAGGGACCAGGACCGGGGTATTTGGAGCGGAGCCCCTTAGGACGCGGGCTCACAGGGCTGTCTGCCTGTGTCTATGTTTCCTAGGGAGCTCGTCACAGTCCGTCCCCCCGCCCCCTCCTGACCACTACCTACCTACCTACCTACCTACCTACCTGGTTTGGTTATACGTTGGGGGGAGCTAGGGCCCTTCCCCTTTGCCGCCTCCCTCTCGCTGTGTCCTTGAGGAAATAACCCTTCTTCCCCGCCCTCTCCCTCTTCCCCTCCCCCTTCTCTCCCTTTCCCTCCTCATATTCTATTCCTGGAGTATCCGTCTATCTCTTACATTAGCATCGCTCATCTGTATTTCGTCTTTTCCCGCGCTCCTCCCCCCCTCCCCCCTTCCTCCGCAGGCCTGCTGTACCTTCACGGCCACACACCGCCCATTGTGCACCGCGACCTCAAGTGCGACAACATCTTCGTCAACAGCGGCACGGGCGAGGTCAAGATCGGGGACCTGGGGCTGGCCACCGTGCAGCAGACGGCCATGAGCGTCGTGGGGTGAGGGAGGGGTGAGGGAGGGGGGAGGGTGGGGGGAGGGAGGGGGGAGGGTGGGGGGAGGGAGGGGGGAGGGTGGGGGGAGGGAGGGGGGAGGGAGGGGGGAGGGAGGGGGGAGGGTGCGAGGTAGCTGGAGGGGGGGGGAGAGGAGTTGCGCTGGCTGGGGGAGCCCGGGCAGGGTGGGAATGTATTGTGTCTTTAATGGAGTCAGCTTCTGGAACATTTGAGAGCTCTTGGATGTATGGGTATTATTTATGTACGTATGTGTGTGTGTACCTGTATTTACGTACCACCGTACAACACCCGTCAGCCCGTTGTATTTACAAACCTCACAAATTGCATTGCGTATGTGATCACGAACCCGTACTGCACTGCGTATGGTTCACCCTGCCCGGCCCTGCCCCCCTCGTGTCCGTCCCTCCAACTCCCACATAGCACAACACAACACAGCACAGCACCCTGCCGCCCCATCCCGCCACCTCCGCCGCCGTTTCCGAGGCGCTCCGGGCCCAAAACACCACCTTCTGGTGCTTCCATGCCTGCTACTTCCATTCTATTCATGCAACCCCGCTTCTCTCTCTCTCTCTCCCCCCTCCTTCCCCTCCGCCTTCTCCGCAGTACTCCGGAGTTCATGGCCCCCGGTGCGTCTGGGACTGATATCCGAATGCGGGACAGGGGCGGGGCGGGGCGGGGCGGGGGCCAGAGACGGATTTACCACGCGGATGGGGTGTGCCATTCCCATCACAATCACATAGCCGTGGGGGAGGTGGTGGTGTTGGAGATGTGGGGCACACACACACGCACACACACACACACGCACACACACACACACGCACACACACACATGTTTTTTTGTTCGGGACTTAGGGGCAATCTCGACGAGGTGTATCTGAGCAACCGTAACCCCTGGCTCTCTGGTCCCGGGGGGGACCCTCCCCCCGCCCTCTCGACTTGGGGTGTAGGATACGGCTTGCAGGGGCGTGGCTTAGGATGCCTCCGCTTTGGCTGCACGGCTTAGGGGGATATCTTGCCGGGACCGGGAAGAGGGGGCGAGGAGAGAAGCAGGGCAAGGGTCAGGGGTCCCTGGGGGCCGCGAAACGCGTTTTTTTTCACTCAGGCCTGGTCCTATGAGGTTATAGTTTTTCGGAGCTCACATGTGGGGGGCTGCTGCTGCTGCTGGCTGTGAGCTGTGGCCTGTTTGGAGGGCAAAGTGGCGGAGGCTTGATTTGAGGGTCCTCTCCCCCCTACCCGTACCCTCCCCCCCGGGGTGGGGTTTCTTGCATATGATTTCCCCCCCTCGGTGGTCTGTGGGGAGGGGAGGGGAGGGGAGGGGAGGGGGCCTAATTTGTTTGTGGGTTGGAGGGGTCGGTACGTAGCCTGACGTGGCGGATGTACGGAGAGAGGGAAAGGGGGGTAGCTGATGGACAGATGAGTAGGCGGTCGGCCGTCGGCGCGCGCTATAAAACACATCCCGCATTCACATCCACATCGACACCCGCACCCACACAAGCACCCATTAGTCATGGTTGGTTGAAGAAGAAGCCTACCGGTTCCCCTGTCGTACCCCTGCAGAGGTGTACGACGAGTCGTACGACGAGCGCTGCGATATCTACAGGTTGGTTGTTTGCCTTTCTTGTACGCATGTGTGGGACTTCATATGTGTTTACAAGCGGTATTCGCGCCCTGGTATTCGCGCCCTGGTAAGCCACACACGTACATACATACATACATACATACTTCTCTCCTAATACAGGGTTTGGCACCACTGGTAAGGCGCGACCATTGCCCCCGGGAGATCCCGGGATCGATACCCGTTAGGGTCAAAAGTCCTTCCGATGGTGGAAGGCATTGCGCCCCTAGTTGATGGACGGTGGTGACCTGGGATAAAGTTAACCTGCGAGCCGACCAGGAACGGAGTTGGGCCGCTGTCGACCCGGCAGATTCCGTTGGATGCTGGTGGTGGGTGCGGAACCTGAGCGATCCACTGAGAAGTTGACTAGGGTGACTGGATGAGGGTGCCCCGAAATACCGGGGAAGGCAGGGTTTCGCAGGGTAGCTGCCACGGGCGAAGATACACCCCCTGTTTCACACATCATACTTCTCTCCTGACTTTTGCTACGCATGTTCTCCCCTCCCAATTTTTGTTCCTTGCATACCTACCCCCCTAAACCCCCTTCAACCCCCCCCCAATTCACCCCCAGTTTCGGTATGTGTGTATTGGAGCTGGCCACCCTGGAGTATCCGTACGCCGAGTGCCACAGCGTGCCCCAGATTTTCAAAAAAGTCACTTTGGTGGGTCAGCGAGTTGCTTACACATACATACATACATACATACATACATACATACATACATACATACATACATACATACATACATACATACATACATACATACATACATACATACATACATACATACACGTACACACACGTACACACTCCCACGCCGTCACCCAGGGTATTCCTCCGGCTTCCTTGTCGCGGGTCTCCCCTGAACTCCGCGAGTTCATCTCCCTCTGCATCGCGCACAACCCCGCGGACCGCCCCTCGGCCCGGGAGCTGCTGAAGCACCCCTACCTGGAGGCCGTACGACTGTCCGGCAGCGAGTCACACCACTGCGCTTCACTGCCCAGCGGCGGCGCCTCCTCCGGCGCCCTCACCTCGCTGTCTAATGGGGGCCCGAGTAACGGCTGGAACACGCCGTCAGGTTGGTGTGGGTGTGTGGGGGGAGAGGTGTGTGTGTGTGGAGGTGTGGAGGTGTGTGTGGGGTGGGGGGAGTGGTGGAGGTGCGGGGTTTATTAATTGAGTATTACCTAAGCATTACTAAATAATATGGGTGAGGGGTGGCGGTGTGTATGTATCTGTGTGTGTGTGTATGTATGGGGAGCGTCAGCTCGTGTTCCTGGGACTGCCGGGATACGAGAAACCGGGGAGAGGGGGCTGCAGGGTGTTTTGCACGTGTTTGCACATGATTAGTTAGTTGTCGTGATTAACTGCGACATATGGTTCCCCACTCCAGCTGGTCAGTTCTACTTCTTGTACACTCTTTCCTTGCCAGCAGCTTCACTCGTTCACGTGGTTCGTCTTTCCCCCCCTTTCTCCCCTCCCCCCCCTCGCAGGTACCCTGCATTGCGCTGCCAGCGTACGGGACCTCCGTGATGCGCTGCACCAGCAGGAAGCCTTGGCGCGTCACCACCACCAGCAGCAGCTGCTGCTGCAGCTGTCCCAACAACAACAGCAACAAGAACATCAGCTCTACCCTCTACACCACCATCATTTCGAACATCACCACGAACAATATCACCAGCAGCGACAGCAGCAGCAGATACTGCATAGCACGTGCCCCGACGTGCACGCGGTCGCGGTCGCAGCGGAGGCGGCTGCTGCCGCCGGCAGCGAAGGCGGAAGCAATACCAGGGTCTCTGGCGGCGGCGGCGACGACGAAGGCAGCGAGGGTTTGACGTCCCGTGATATCCCCCGGCACAACACCGTGGCGCTGGGGGTGCTGGCACGTAGCGGCACGACCAATACTTCAGGGGGCCAGAGGTCGCAGCTGGGACGCACCTCCAAATCGCCGTTCGTCAAGACGGCAGCCGCCGCGACGGCGGCGGCGGCGGAAGGGGAAGCGGAAGGGGAAGGGGCAGCGTTGGCGGGGCCGCCGCAATTATCACCGTCGGCGATGACGATGGCAGCGGCGGCAAACAGTGCCGCCGCCGCCGTGGACAGCGCCAGTGCCGCCACCGCCACCGCCACCTCGGCGGTTGCCGCAGCGCGAAGCACCCAGTCCATGTCTTCTTCCGTCGGCAGCGGCGACAGCGACACGGACAGCGATGAGGAGGTGATAGTGCCGATTGAGTTGCTAAAGGTGCGAGCCGTGTGGGGGCATGATGAGGATGACCCGTGGGGATGTGGTGGACCCGGCCGCCGTGTGAAGGGAGAGAGAGGGAGAGTGTGCGAGTGTGTGTTGGGAAAGAGGGAAAGAGAGAGAGAAGGGCGGGGCCTTCACCTCACCCTAGTGCGCCGGGGCCATCACACGGCTCTGCTTTGCATTCACTTCCCTTTCGTGCTTTGCAACTTTGCTCCACTGGGCCACAGGTAAATCTGTTGCTTCCGTTTTTTTCAGTTTTTTGCTTCCTTTAAAGCGACAATATAAAACCTTTCAAAAGCAACAGAGTTATTGCCTTCCATCCCTCGGACTCCAACCTCGCGCAGGCGGGGTTGTTGGAGGAGGGCTTCGTAGATGCCGCCGCCGCCGCCGCCGCCGCCGCCGCCTTCGCCCCCGGGCCTTCCGACACTTGGAGCGACCGCGCGGAGGTCCCCGTTGTGGATCCAACGTTGGTCCCCAGCGGGGCCCCGGGGCAGTCTGTGGCCACAGCCGCACCAGCCGCTGCTGTGACCCGTGGGCTATCGTCGCATGGCTCTGAGGAGCAGCAGCAGCAGCAGAGGCAACGAGGGCGGCAGCCGCTGCCGCTGCCGCCTCGTGCTCCCCGGTCGGCCGTTGGGATGCATAGGCCTGGGATTGCGGAGGGGGGAGGTGAAGGGGGCGCCGCCGCCGCTGGCAACCGCGAGGGAGCTGCAGTGGCGATGAGCGTTGCAACGGCGGCGGCGGCGATGGCTGAGGAGGAGGAGGAGGAGGAGGAAGAGGGGGAGGAAGGGCTAGGTGTGGACGCGGGTAACGTTGAAGAAGAGGAGGAGAGGGAGTTGGAAGGCGGAGACGGCAAGGCGGTGCTCGACACAGGCCGTCGCCTGGCGGCCGGCGACGTGACGGCGCCGGCCTTGGGCCTGGATTCCTGGACCCAGAGGTGGGCGCTGCAGGGGAGCTTGGAGGCGGCGGTGGGGATGGGGCATAGCGGTGGCGGCGTGGAGGCGGCGCCGTCGTTGGCGTGCAGCGTCGGCAGTAGCGCCAGCAGTACCGCCAGGAGGCTGTCGCACGGCGCTGGCGGCGGCGGTAGCGGCGGCGGCGGCGGTCGCCACAGCCATCAGAGCTCGGCCGACGCTATCACATTCAACGTCCCCCTCCAGCCGTCGTGCGGCAGCGGCGCGAGCACACCGGCGCTGCGCGTGTCGTACAGTGGTAATGGACCGGCGCCGTCGACGCCGCCGCCGGTACAGCTGCAGCTGTTGCAGTTACCGTCCCTGCCGCCGACTGGGGGCGTGGTGCCGTCGATGTCGCCGCCGGTCAGCTACCTGAGTTCCTCCGCCAGCGCAGACGCTGCGGCGGCGGTGGCGGCGGCGGCGCCGTCGCCTCCGCTGGCGATGCGGGGTTCCGTTCCTTCGTTGGGCAGCACGCCTGCTCCTGGACTTGTACGGCTCCCGTCCTTCCGGAACCGAGTGCTGCTGACCATGCAGGGAACGCCAGGCGGCGGCAGCTGCGGCGGAGGCTCTACGCCGTACGGGCCGTACTTCCGCAGCACGTCTGCCCGCTTAGAGAGCGCTAGCCTCGGCGGCAGCAGCTTATGCCACACGCGCGAGGTGCCGAGCTTCGTTAGTACGGCGGCGCCGACAGGGCACTCCATGGTGGCGGCGGGGCCCGGGCCCGGTTACAACAGCTTGGGGGCCGCCCCCACCTTCCGGCCGGCGTCAAGTGGTGACATCGACGCGGCGGCGGCAGTGATGGGCGTGGCGGCGAGTGCCGACGTGGCCGCGATCTCCTCTATGGGCGGGTCCGCAACGGAAGACCGAAGAAGCGATGGAGAGATGGAGGGAATGTCTTGTCAGCCAGTTACACGGCCGCGGCTAGCGGGGGTGCCTGAAGGCGACGGCGAGGCCGGCGAAAACGGCAGGCTGCTGCCGCCGCCGCCGCCGCCGCCGCCACCCACATCGGTGATGGAGAGCGCGAACCCACCTGACGGCAGTCGGTCCAGCACTGCTGACAACCCCACGAAAGTGATACCTTCCGTCAGCTGTCATGATGACGGTACGGCAGCGTCAGCGCCAGGGGCGGCAATGACGGCGGCGGCGGGACAGCTCAGCGAGCTCGCGGATGCAGGAGTGATAGCTGCCATGGATTTACCGTCGACCGCGTCGATCCTTGGCGGCGGCGCCGCCGCCGCCGCCGCCGTCCCGGCCGATCGCATGGGTAAACCCATGCCCATGGCCCTTGCCCCCGCAGCGACGGTACAGGCGCCGCCGCTGCCAGCTGAACTTCCCGTGGGGTTGCCGCCGCACCCGCCGCCGCCGCCGCCATCGCCGCCGACGCCACACACTTCGCAGCTTCCTGGCGAGGTGACGGTGCTCAAGGAGATGTCGAGGCCCATCCAGGGCGTGATCATGCGGCTGAAGCAGTGGAAGCGGCTGATGCAGGATCGGGCCAAAGGGCGTCGTAGTTGACAGCTGCTGGTGGGACGTGTACGACAGGGTTATCCTCCGACTGTGACACCTTGGAGCCCTTGCTGACCTCTTGCCGTGCGGTGAAATGGCGGAGAGGGAGAAGGCCCCGTGCCCGCGCCCGCACCCGCGCCCGGGCCCGCACGCAGTTTTGAAACACACAGACAGGTTTGAATTAACGGCGGTGGGGTGAAGATCTGTGATACGACGCTGAAGAGGTGCTGTTATTTTAGAGGCGTCAATGTTGTGTGTATGCAAAGTACGGAAAACGTACTTTGCATTCCGGAGATAGCGGGATAACGAATAGGGCTAAGGTGTGAAGGTCGGGCCGGGGTAGACTAGCTGGGGAACTCGACTCGGCATTAAGCATGTACAGCAATGATGAGCGGCGGCAGCAGCAGCGGCAGCGGCAGCTTTGTCGGGGTAGGACGTCATTTGGCGCAACTCGCCGTTCTAATATTATTGTGTGTGACTTGTCGCCCGTGAAATGTGCAGCCGCCGTACACACATCCACAGTCCCACTTGAGTAATTAACAATTACGTATTTAACATGTGCGATTTAGTCACATTTTAAAATTCCTGTTGGTTGGGTACTTCTTAGATAGAGCCTAAACAGGCCAGGGATAGATTGACTGTCCAAGATTCTGTGGGCCCATGCAATAGTCATCGTGGACGGGTATATAGGTATATATCAGTCACAGGGGCAGACCTGTACGATGAAAGTACGGCGCTTCTGATCTGCCGTATTTTTCGTGTTTATAATAGCGGTATCAGTAGTGGTTGCGTATTTTTTGTGTTTGCAGCAGTAGCGGCGGCGGCGGTGGCGGCGGCATTGCCAACAGCAGCAGCAGTAACCGGCACAGCTTACCGCTTACCACCCCGCGGCTACAGCTCGCTCCTCTTGTCTGTATATCTATCTGTATATCTGTCTGTTTTCCGCTGTGGCTGAGAAGGAGGCTGAGAACTGGCGCCAACAAGTAGGGCCCCCGGTGTTCAGCCCTACGTCTGCTTACCTGCCTCCACCATCGTCTTTTACCTTTTCTCTTCATCTATTTAAAAAAGTACTTTTGTTTGTTGTTCGTTCGTTGTCTTGGTCGGTCGAGTCGTTCTTACCAGCTAGCTATGTTGCACACCAACAATGGACCGCTGTGCCGCCCCGCGCACGTAGTGGTGGTGGTGGTGGTGGCGGTGATGGTGGTGGTGGTGGTGAACGTGATTCTCTCTATTCGGTGTAAGCAGCGCTTCCACTCATGTAGGCATCCGAGTGCGCCTCTTCGTCTCTTCGGTGCCTGCTGGCGGCATCGGCGAAGTGTGTTTGTGTAAGGCTGAAGGCTGGCAGCGAGGCTGAGACCCAGACTGAGGCGGAACGTGAACTCATGAGGAGGTCTGCCACCTGGTTTCCTCGGAGACCGTTCGGTTTTTATCTGTTGTGTGGTGGTTCTGGACCATCACCAGCGGAAGATCAGGATATGGAGAGGATGGCTGGTACGGAGCGACCTGGGGGGTTGACGGCAGCCCAGCAGTGGGGCAGTCTTCCATCCCCCGCTCGCGTGCATCGTGTGTCTTTGTGTGTGTGTGTGTATGTATATGTATGCTGGCATCGTTCAGCGTTGCATTGGAAGAGCTGACAGAACAAGAAAATTGGTATTGGGGCGCACATTAGGTTGTCGATGTTGACCTAGGGTTTGTGAAGGGGTCGTCTGCGCGTCAGGTGTTGAGGACATTAGCATAACAGGGGTGTTTGTTTGTGTGTATGTTTGTGTAGTAGTACTTAATCCGGAGGGCTCCACAGGGGGCGGGGTCTTCTTCCTCTCCCTCTCTCCCCACCCCACACCCCACACCCCACACATACATGGTCATATATCGCATCAGTCATCGTTGCAGGCTTTTACTGCTCGCTTAGTATTTCCCCCCCCCCTTCCTCTTAACTCCCCCTCTCTTCGCCCTATAGCTCTATAGTTCTGCGTCTGAAGCGACGTGCGCCCGCGAGATGTGCAGCAGCAGCACACAGCAGCACAGCAGCAGCAAGACTCAACCATCTAAGGCAACATCCTGGCAACAGTGGCGTCCAATTTCGCAAGGAATGAGTGCCCAACAAGAGAGAACCATCTTGAGCTGTGGATAAGAACAGCCGATGCACATGCCGGCCCCCAGCAGCCGCACGCAACTAGCTAGCTGGATTGCTGGGTCATTCGCACGCACATGCTACCACTTCTGCAGTTAAATGCGATAGACGTCAAAATGCGGGCTCTAAACACGTCACATGCAAAACTCGTCCCTGGCAACCGCCTGTGCGGAGAATGCAGTTACAGCTTGCCCGCGTGGACTTAATTGCGGAGGAGTTCAGGAGACTGTCAACACTATTCTGACTGGGAATTTGTCGCGGCGGTGGACCTGAAAGACATGCCATCGAACCTGAATTCGATTCCTGTGTTGATTTATGCAGACAGAACCTCCCGGTAGCCATCCCACCGGGTCAACGGGCCGTTGACTTATCCATACTCAAGTGTGGGGTGTCTGTGCCTGTCGGCCGTAAGTGCGTTGAATTCGGGGTCACAATATCCCATGAATATCGAGGAGGGTTTGACTTCCTCTCTTAACCCTCTCTTACACATAGTAGGATTGCGATTAGTACAAACCCGAGAACACAGCGGTTTTTGCGACCGCTGTGTTCTCGGGTTTCTGCCCACGTCTACCGGCCTGCGTTTGCAGCGAGCACACGTGCTCCCAAGGCCGGCAATACCTAATACCTTGCTACCATCTATACTTCTTTGACATCATTTGTGTGACAGCTGAGGCAACATACTCAGTGAAGCTGGCCATGTAAGGCCCTCAGTGTCGTAGGTTCGGTTGTGTTGCAAAAACACACGAACTAGACGGTATCCCCTAGACGGCCGGATGCGAGCCTCGTAGCGAACCCCAACCGATACCGAGCCTCAGACTGCATGCATGATGTGTGTGTGTGTGTGTGTATGTGTGTGTAAAACTCTAAAACCCACTACTTACGCACCTCTCACATCTGGGTAATCTTTAAATGTCTTTGTTGGGTGAAAGCGCCAGCACTCGGTTTCGACTTTGGTTGCCTTAGCTGTGCAAGTAATGTAAGTAATGTATAATGACTTGTGACACAGAGCAGGATACAACAACATAAAAACAGAAAAACCACAGTACTCCGGAATGTGCCAGCCCCATCCTGAACAACGCTGCAGCGGCCATAAATCCCAAGGACCGGCACTGTAGGCACGTCTGCTTTCCGCCGCACGCACGCACGCACTTACACACGGGTGCAATCGGAACTCTTTTGTCGTAATTCGAAGTGGCCTCGTTTCGTGGTTCTTCTGACCTTTAACCGCAAAAGAACATACCGCTACATACCGCTTGGGAAGTGGCGGCGACGGTAAAAGGGCGTGACAGCGCCCTCCTTGGCAAGGGCGCCCCTAGCACAATGACGTCCGTCCACACCCGCCCGCCCACCATGCACACGCTGGAAGGTGAAGTTCAAAGAGTTCGACAAAAAGTTCCAGAAGAGCAAACGATAAAACAGTTACCCCTGAATTAGTACAGCACAGTACCTGGGACACCAAAGGCTCCTGCGGTGCGGCCCAGAGCCCTTAGGCTCTTGCCTTTTCGGCACACCCATGCAAAGGATGCGGTCGATAATATATATCACGAAGGCATGGCCATTCCTGCCTACCCGACCTTACCTTCTTGACCCCAAACACCATTGTAGTTATTATTGCTTACGTTGACCAGATCTGCTAGTTAGTTGAAATGTTAGCAAACGTAATACCGCTTGGGCTGTAGATTAAATGACTCGTGTGTAGCCTCATTGTGGTGGAAAGCAACCATGGCTGAGGTGCCTGCAGTGCCGGACCTTGGGCTTCACTGGAGGTGAAGCATCGAGGAAAGAGAATTTGTGGCTCGGATCATTACAGGTTAGGAAGCACAGCTTACACTGTGCATTTTATTACGGTATGGCTCGCTAGAGCAGCGTTGTAAGTCCCAGAGGTTCGTCAGGAATGCATCGGTGATGAGGTATGTAGCGATTTCGTGCACGTGCCCAACGCATTCCTGGACATTTCGTCGGGTTGAAAAAACTGAAACGCCCATTATTTCAACAAAATTGAACTCTGAATTCCATGATTTTCTTAAGGAAGAAGCTACACGAAATAACCGCACGCCAGAACTGTGCCCATTACTCTTTACCACCCCTTCATTTCCATGCGTGTGCAGCTCAGCGGCGGCACAGAATGAATGCCACCCTGACTGCCGCTTAGACGACGTATTGCATCATAATTTTGACCATCGTCACGACACAACAAAAAAGAAACGCAAAACTGCAAGCTGAAGATCACGGCTTGTGTAGTCACGCAAAAGATGCATCGTGCACCGAACCGAACATGTCTGATGGGACTTATGCATACAATGCACAAGTACATGTGGCCGATGTGATGCGATTATGAACCGCCATTATTATTCTTCAACCCGCACATGCAATGGGGATATACATGCTAGAATGATACCTGCACGAAATCAGTATTCCCAGCGTTCTTCAGTGGACGAGATCACCGTGTACGGCATTACGCGACCACGGCACCGGGCACGACGTCCTTGATCGCGTTGAAGCCTGTCTTGGCGACGTTGTCCTCCGGCAGCGGCTTGGGCCCCCCGGTGAGGATGCGGGCGGCCATGTCGGCACCCACGAACGCGTCGCCGTCGTGGAAGTGCTCGAAGTTCTTCACGAACATGTGGCCCAGCTTGTTGAGGGTGGTGGCGAACTCGTTCTTGTCACCCCACACGTTCTCGGGACACAGCACCTCCGAAGGGACACCGCTGATGGACGTGGGCACCTACGACGTGGAACAGCAGGGAGGCGGATATATATGCGTGATGAGCACTTAGGAAGTGCGTCATGGGAGCAAGGGGGCGAGTGGAAAGAGGCTAACTACATGAAAATAACACAATCAAAACCCCGCGCACCTGCAGTCCGAAGATTGGCGTGGTGACGAACTCGGCCTGGTCGAGTTCTCCGCTGTGAATGGCGTCGATGATGGCGCGCGTGTGCCTCAGGCTCATGCGCTTGCCGACACCGTACCTGACGTGGAGGGGTTCCATGGGAATCTTGCGATGTGATGATCAACAAGGAGACATCGCGTAACAACAACAGGGCAGGTGGTCAGGTTGGAACGATTTGAGCGCTCAGTCCACCTGCCCCCCTACCGCCGCCAGCGCCCCCACAGCCGCACGACTCACTTTCCGCCGGTCCAGCCGGTGTTGAGCAGCCAGGCGGTGGTGCCGTGCTTGGACATCTTCTCAGCAAGCATAGTGGCGTACCTGAAGAGAGACGGGGACCGGAGTGAGTGACATGGTGCGGATAAAAGGATAGCAAAATACAAGTAGTCGTTTGTTAGCCATAAGGCACATCCAGCCCCCACTCACTTGTACGGATGCATCATGAGGAATGCCGAGCCGAAGCAGGCGCTGAAGGTGGCCTGTGGCTCCGTCACGCCCACTTCCGTGCCGGCGACTTTGGCTGTGTATCCGCTGATGAAGTGGTACATGGCCTGCTCAAGCGTCAGGCGGCTCACGGGGGGCAGGACGCCGAAGGCGTCACAAGCGAGCAGGATGACGTTCTTGGGGTGGCCGCCAACGCAGGGGATGCGCGCATTGGCCATGTACTCGATGGGGTAGGAAGCCCGGGTGTTCTCCGTGAATTTCTGCGACTCGTAGTCCACCTCGCGGGTGGCGGGGTCAATCTCCACGTTCTCAAGCACGGTACCGAACTTGATGGCGTTGTAAATCTCGGGCTCCGTCTCCGGCTTCAGGCCGATGCACTTAGCGTAGCAGCCGCCCTCGATGTTGAACACACCGTTGTCGCTCCACACGTGCTCATCGTCACCAATCAGGGGCCGCTTGGGATCTGACAGGGCGAGGAGATGATGACGGGAGAGCTGCTCAGGCAGGAGGGGGGTCCTGGTGCGCTACAGACCAACGCCATCACGTACACAACGCTTGCGGTGTCTAAAGAAACTGCTAGGAAAGCACAGCTGGCAGATGCTGCAATGCTTCCTTCAAGCCCGCCCACCTGCCGACAACGTCGTTTTGCCCGTTCCGCTGAGTCCAAAGAACAACGTCACATCGTCCTCCGCGCCCACGTTGCAGCCCGAGTGAAGGGACAGCTTGCCCTGCATGGGCATCAGGTAGTGCATCAACCTGCGAGGGGGGGAGGCGGGGTGGTTAAGAATGACCGCCAACATAATCGCCCACACAAGGTAATCGTTGCGGCTCCGAGCCAGCTCCTGTCCCACCGCTCACTTACGTAAACACTCCCTTCTTCATCTCGCCCGCGTACATGGTGCCGAGGATGACCATCTCCTTGTGCTTCAGACTCAGGTCAATCGAAGTCTGACTGGTCATGAACTGCACACAGAAAACATAACAAGCATTAAACGATTAAAGATGTGTCGCTGACAGGTTGGAGGATTTCGCATGTGCCATGAATTCTCGATACACCAGAGGCCCCACATACACGACACTGCTGCCGTACCCCCCCAATTCCGTACAGCCCTCCTTCACCTCCACGGCCCCCACCCTTTCCCCGACGCACATTGGTGTACTTGTTAGCGGGGAAGGCGCCGGCGTTGTAAATGATGAAATCTGTGGCGGGCAAGGCGGGGTATCACTTTCATGTTTGGGTGTAATCATGAACAGCTGTAATTTGAGATTTGAGACCGCCACACACATGCCTCAGCACGTGTTACATATCCTGCTCCGCACCTCGGCCTCCTTCCGCCTCACCTGGCTCTCCAAAGTTGGCCAGCTCCTCCGCCGTGGGGCGGATGAGCATATTGGACATGAACAGGGCGTGGTAGGCGCGACTGGTGACCACCCGGACCTTGAGACGCGACGCCGGGTCCCAGTTGACGAACGCATCCACCACGTAGACCCTCTCCAGGGTGTTGAGGTAATCCACGGCCCGCTCGCGGTTGGTCAGGAACGTCCTGTCGTCCATGACGTAGTTGGGCGAGTACGGGCCCCACCAAAGGTCCTTCTCGGTCTCGGGGTCGCGAGTCACACGCCTGAGGACAAGGAGGAGGGCAGGTGGCAAGTAGAGAGCATGGAACGGGAGGAAAGCAAGGGGGTAAGCAGCAGGCCATGCATATCAGGATAGCAAATGGTCATGTGAGGAAAAGCAGGATAACCTCAGCAGCCCGCAGGCAAATCCATTACTTTCTCATCTACTATTCTGGAGTCCAACTACACATATCGATAGTCTATATATAGAAGACCAGGGGACGAGCAAAGGTCACACACGTGTACCAGTTGGCGCTCGCCCGCAAGCCACAAACTTACTTGTCCTGGGGGCAGCGACCCATCTTCTCGCCTGTGTGAGCACAGCGTAGGGAATATGGGGCAAAAGCCGTGAGGGGAAGCTATACAAGCGAGGATGCGAAAGACAAGCCCAAGGTCTTGCGCAGGTACTATTAAGTGCAGGTCAAGTGCATGCAGCGGAGAAACAGCTGAGTTTTATATATCTGCGCGAAAAACAGCTAGCACCTAAGGACTTACCGGACCTTGTCGCCAGGGCACCAGTCGATGTGATGTGCGTGCCGGGCTCGAAGGCCAGAGCCTGTATGAAAATTACGGAACAGCATCAATTAACACCGATAATGGAAACTATCAATATTATAGTTGTTCCTTCTACTTACCAGCTCATAGAGCTGGGGCGGAGACAGATTGCGGTAGATACTTTTCGGGGCAAGGCCCGACTCCCTGGTGAACTTGCTGCTCAGGAGAAACTCCATGTCGGAGCCAGCAGGCAGGTTGTCCTGAGCCATCTGCAAACAGAATTTTAACATGAGCTGCAAAATTTCTTTGAATCTACGTTATGTGAGATGCAATTCCGATACATGACGGAAACAGAACTGCAGTATCTGTGCGACTTGGACAGCCATGCTGAACGTAGATGTCAGCAAAGAATTAAACATGCAGTGCTGGAAATCAGAACTAAATCGCCGGAGTGGCGCCCCTCAAGCGAACACCGTAACGCCTGTGTTCCGATAGATAACCGTCCGCGGTTAAAATTCGGAAGGACGAGGTCAAGTGACCTGTGTCACGCACCACTGCTAGAGAGGTAACATTTCTGCTAGAGGACTAATCTGGAATACATCAAATGGCCTAGCGCCACATGCACGCTACTCTCGAGTCGACTCACCCGCAGCATGCTTGCGTCGATAGGCGTACCAAATTCAATAAACCAAAATATATGAATGCTAAAGTATCAGTGAGTTGGGGAACGAAACGATGATGAGTGTGTACAGATAATTGCTCTTAAAGAATATTTGCCTGGCGGACACGCTCGAGGGAGGGCCGAGCTCCGACACCATAACTTTATTCAAAACATCTGGGGAATCCTACAAATCGATTATTGGTCTCTTCTTTTCATCCTAGAAGATTTTCTGAGCTTAGATCTGTTGTCTTGGTGAATGGCTGTACCTGGCGGTACAGTTGGTTGGAGAATGTCCTGTAGTTACGTAAAACCATAAATTGATGTGCCCTGCAGTCTTGCGTCTGTGCTTAAGGGTTCTGACACGTATCTGCCTGTAGCTAAGTCATTAACCAAAACCGGACGCTTAACTTCTCGTTTGAGGTTTACGTTATCGTGCGTATATCTAGGGTTTTGTCCAGGACATAAAAAAGAAAATCCCTAAATTTACATAGACATTGATGACATTTTAGCGCGCTGCAGTTTCCCGATGGTCTTGCTGCACGTCGAGGAGCCCTTGCTGACCGGTCAAAACTTAAATCCCATGAGAGTTGACAATTTTCTTTTGCCTGTTGTGTTGTGAAGTGAGATTTCCAACGACTTTGCGTGAGGCAGTTGCGAGCCGTGCAATTCTGGATAGTGCATAGCATGACTGCTCTATGGGAATACGGGCAAGACGTTTCAGTCTTTGTGTTATACATTTTCGCCAAAGCTTTTACTGCAAGGTCTCCTTCCCAGGAAGTTGTCCCAGTGTCGCCCGTTAACGGTCAACGGATTTAAACCAACCGGTTTCCTTGCGCGAGGAACAAGGAGCCGAGGACAGGAGCATGCGAGCTCACTTTGCTTTCGCATGTATCCCTATTCACGTATGTTGCGAATGGATAATGCGAGACAAGTGCGAGCTCTCCTTAAAACGCGAGCAAATGGGCGCGGCCAAACAAATAAATACTCCATGCACACTGCAGCTGCCCAGATGACCAGCGTGCTTTGCTTTGTCATTCTGACTAAAGCTGTCGGTATCTTAATCTGGCGCCTAATTGGATGTGGAATGCAAGATGCTATAACATGCAGACAGTCGACCGCGGACAGCGGCGCATGCGATGCAGTAGCACATTAAATTAGCACATATCAGCATATTGAATTCAACATATTTTTGGCTAGTGGAATCGCAGGATACACAGCCGCGCGCGCTTAACTTCGTAAAATCCTCGCTGACTTCAGCAGCTTGGCAGCGTAATTTCTTCTTTCCTTGTAACAGTTTAGCTTGGAGGCAAGACTGCTGTGTACTATCCTTCACCGGAACAGGACATGAAATGTTCTTACGTATGAACGTTACCGGCCACCCGGGTGATCCCTTCATGGCACCTCACTTCACATTGCTGAAATACCACACATGTTGCGTTGTCCAACTGTCCGGGAGCAACAAGCTCAAGCGAGCCCTGAGGGAACTCGAGAGGAGCTTGACAACGGGTTTCTGCCCTGCAGATGTGTGACAAATTTCTCGTTCCCGGAAAGTTATGTTTAGATGTCATAATGCATCGAACCTCCTCAAATGTGTTGCTTGTCGGGCTAGGAGAACAATAATATACAGTCGTGCGTCTTGTATCTGAACCGCCGGGAATATCCATGTCATACACATGTGTTTTGCACGTGTCCTTATCAAGACCGGGGTTCCGTATCATGTATATCCTGCGTTCAATTCCGACGAAATCAAACCTTGTACCAGAAGGTACCAATGAGGAGCACGTATCTGTATTCCATACATGATGTCTTGTATGTTCATTAGCATCCATTAACGTGTTCAGTTCATCCAGCAAACACTCGCCCACACGCCCAGGCCTGACGTGCGTAAAAACCTGTGCTGCCAAGTGTGACCCAGATGAAGTGCACATCATCAAGGCATCAATCACGTGAACGGCCTACCGACCTCCACTTTGAGCGAATGGGCACCGGATGCACAGAGGGCACCTGTTTATTTTCCACGTACGCGTTTTCGGTCTGTTGCTTGTCAGCAGCATCTGCACCTGAACAACCGATCGCAGTAACACTTCTAGCTACCCCATGAAGCACGACGGCTCTGCAACAAAAGCTCAAAACTTAAGACGTAACACCACATATATAGCCTACTTAAGGATCCACCACGAAGTTGAGGCGCATCACCACTTGGTTAAAAACCCATCAAACGACATGAAGATCGCGACAAGGCAACATTTTCACCAGCCGAGCAAATTGTGCTCTGTACGGATATGAATGGACTCGTTTGAGACGCACGTGCCTAAGATGCGATGATATGCAAAACAAAACTCAAAAAAAGAGCACCCAGAGCACGAGCTTCAGCTGCGCCAACCAGACCATTACGAGCAGAGCTTTGTTGGTCCCTCGCGAATTCTACCTCGCGGACAAAGCACGCAACAAATCCATCAAGTAGCTTGTGGCGGGTGTCCAGGCCCCCGTTTTTCAACTTGTTCAGCTCACTGCGCGCTGCAGAACCGGCCCTAACTGCTCAACAGCGCCCATGGAAGGTAAAGCGCCCAAGCCCAACATGAACAAAACAAAAAAACAACCCAAGCCAAGCGCTGCTCGTTCATGCGAACCTAAAATGCAGCAACCATCAGCCTTGCGCAACCTATCCACCGAACATAATCGCAACGCCTTTCAGTGACATCAAAAAAAGACAAGAAAAAGGCCCAAGTGAGAGCCAGTTGTCTGAATGCCCGGGCCAGGGGGACAGCGCCCCGGCCCCGCAGCTGACGTCTCATTATTATTCCTTGAAAGCGAAGGCCTGAACCGCTGAGGATCCACGGATCATTCCATGCATCATGTAGCTGGCAGTAAAAAAAAATTACAAAGCAAAGCAACAAAAATGCAAGTCAACGCATGGCTAGAGCTTAAAGGTTGAAGCCTGTCTTGGCGACGTTGTCCTCCGGCAGCGGCTTGGGCCCCCCGGTGAGGATGCGGGCGGCCATGTCGGCACCCACGAACGCGTCGCCGTCGTGGAAGTGCTCGAAGTTCTTCACGAACATGTGGCCCAGCTTGTTGAGGGTGGTGGCGAACTCGTTCTTGTCACCCCACACGTTCTCGGGACACAGCACCTCCGAAGGGACACCGCTGATGGACGTGGGCACCTACGACGTGGAACAGCAGGCAGGCGGATATATATGCGTGATGAGCACTTAGGAAGTGCGTCATTAGGAGCAAGGGGGCGAGTGGAAAGAAGCTAACTACATGAAACCGTCCAAACAACACCCCCGCGCACCTGCAGTCCGAAGATTGGCGTGGTGACGAACTCGGCCTGGTCGAGTTCTCCGCTGTGAATGGCGTCGATGATAGCGCGCGTGTGCTTGAGGCTCATGCGCTTGCCGACACCGTACCTGTTGTGGAGGGGGTCCAGGGGGTCGCATGAGATCTGGTGATCAACAAGAGGACAGCGAGGAACAACAACAGGGCAGGTGGTCAGGTTGGAACGATTTGAGCGCACAGTCCACCTGCCCCCCTACCGCCGCCAGCGCCCCCACAGCCGCACGACTCACTTTCCGCCGGTCCAGCCGGTGTTGAGCAGCCAGGCGGTGGTGCCGTGCTTGGCCATCTTCTCAGCAAGCATAGTGGCGTACCTGACGAGAGGCGGGCGGTTGGGTTAATAAAACATTGCCCCAATGTCTAAATGTCGGCCAGGCCAGGCAGCGATGAGTTACTAACGGAAGGGACGGAAGCGGCTCTTAGGCTCTTAAGCTCATAGATCACATAGTAATGGTCTGGTCTAGTGGCGCCTTTGTGTATATGAAGGTTCCGGGTTCGATTCCTGGTCAGACCCCCGACATTGTTCGGGAGGTCTAGGTTTACTAACGCTGCTGAGGTGTGGAGATGTGGTCTAGTTGATGGACTAAATTTCGCATGCTGAGATGGTGGTGGTGGCTGATCTGTCTCTACGGATGTTGGGTGACTGGATGAGGAGGGGTCTAGTTGGCAGGACCCAAACCGCCGTCGGTCGTACGGTGTAATCAACTTTCAATATATATAGTCCATGGCCTCCCGGCTTTGACGGACCCCCCCGCACTCGTGCGGCACTTGTAACTTGTAACTTGTAGTAACACGTGGACCACCCGTAAGGGATCCCTCTGGAGCCTCAAATAACTGAGCCTGAGCCTCAGAGACGACTAAGGAGCGGCCCCAGAGTGACGGTTTCGGAAAGCTGAGACAGATCCGAGAGATGCGCTAAGGACTGACGTTGGTGCAGTGCTACCCTGCACTCACTTGTACGGGTGAAGCATGAGGAATGCCGAGCCGAAGCAGGCGCTGAAGGTAGCCTGTGGCTCCGTCACGCCCACTTCCGTGCCGGCGACCTTGGCTGTGTATCCGCTGATGAAGTGGTACATGGCCTGCTCTAGCGTCAGGCGGCTCACGGGGGGCAGGACACCGAAGGCGTCACATGCGAGCAGGATGACGTTCTTGGGGTGGCCGCCAACGCAGGGGATGCGCGCATTGGCCATGTACTCGATGGGGTAGGAAGCCCGGGTGTTCTCCGTGAATTTCTGCGACTCGTAGTCCACCTCGCGGGTGGCGGGGTCAATCTCCACGTTCTCAAGCACGGTGCCGAACCTGGAGAGGGTATCGCATAGTTGCTGTAGAAATTTTCCGACGGATATGGCCCCCGTTAATGCGACCCCGAAACCTAACGCGTCCATCATACGTCACACGTTATCATTAAACTAAAGCCCTTCAAACTGAAATCAGCGTTGAAGTGGTAAATGTACTTTATTATCTGTGGATTGGAATGTTAGGGGATTCGGATTCCACAGTAAATACTTAATCGTTTGCTGCTCACTTGATGGCCTTCCAGATCTCGGGCTCCCGCTCCTCGGTGAGGCCGATGCACTTAGCGTAGCAGCCGCCCTCGATGTTGAACACACCGTTGTCGCTCCACACGTGCTCATCGTCACCAATCAGGGGCCGCTTGGGATCTGACAGGGCGAGGAGATGACGACGGGAGAGCTGCTCGGGCAGGAGGGGGGTCCTGGTGCGCTACAGACCAACGCCATCACGTACACAACGCTTGCGGTGTCTAAAGAGACTGCTAGGAAAGCACAGCTGGCAGATGCTGCAATGCTTCCTTCAAGCCCGCCCACCTGCCGACAACGTCGTTTTGCCCGTTCCGCTGAGTCCAAAGAACAACGTCACATCGTCCTCCGCGCCCACGTTGCAGCCCGAGTGAAGGGACAGCTTGCCCTGCATGGGCATCAGGTAGTGCATCAACCTGCGAGGGGGGGAGGCGGGGTGGTTAAGAATGACCGCCAACATAATCGCCCACACAAGGTAATCGTTGTCCCACCGCTCACTTACGTAAACACTCCCTTCTTCATCTCGCCCGCGTACATGGTGCCGAGGATGACCATCTCCTTGTGCTTCAGACTCAGGTCAATCGAAGTCTGACTGGTCATGAACTGCACACAGAAAACATAACAAGCATTAAACGATTAAAGATGTGTCGCTGACAGGTTGGAGGATTTCGCATGTGCCATGAATTCTCGATACACCAGAGGCCTCCCACATACACGACACTGCTGCCGTACCCCCCCAATTCCGTACAGCCCTCCTTCACCTCCACGGCCCCCACCCTTTCCCCGACGCACATTGGTGTACTTGTTAGCGGGGAAGGCGCCGGCGTTGTAAATGATGAAATCTGTGGCGGGCAAGGCGGGGTATCACTTTCATGTTTGGGTGTAATCATGAACAGCTGTAATTTGAGATTTGAGACCGCCACACACATGCCTCAGCACGTGTTACATATCCTGCTCCGCACCTCGGCCTCCTTCCGCCTCACCTGGCTCTCCAAAGTTGGCCAGCTCCTCCGCCGTGGGGCGGATGAGCATATTGGACATGAACAGGGCGTGGTAGGCGCGACTGGTGACCACCCGGACCTTGAGACGCGACGCCGGGTCCCAGTTGACGAACGCATCCACCACGTAGACCCTCTCCAGGGTGTTGAGGTAATCCACGGCCCGCTCGCGGTTGGTCAGGAACGTCCTGTCGTCCATGACGTAGTTGGGCGAGTACGGGCCCCACCAAAGGTCCTTCTCGGTCTCGGGGTCGCGAGTCACACGCCTGAGGATGACAAGGAGGGCAGGTGGCAGGTATAGAGCATGGAACGGGCAGTTGGCAGCGGGAAAAAAGTCAATTGTTAGTTACTTCTTTGCCCACGTGCGGTACGAAAGGCAGCTTCGGGGAGATCCTGGCTTTGCGCGAGCCCTCTCTTGCGCTTGCTGGGCCGAGATGAACTGCCGGCTGAACTCTTTACTCACTTGTCCTTTGGCGAGCGGCCCATCTTAGCACCTGCGTGCAGCATGTAACACGGAAGGAAGTTGGGTCAGCAGTTGAGGGGGGTGGCACGGATGGGGTGAAGGAGAAGGACGCAGTGAGGAAGAGTGGAGCCCGCAAGAGAGGCTACGTTGGCTTTTGCTGGCACGACTTACCCGACCTTGTTGCCAATGCTCCAGTTGAGGTGATATGGGTACCTGGCTCGAATGACAACGCCTGCGCAGCACGAAGTGGGAGGAACTGTGAAAGCGAGATGTGGATGGTTGGTAGTCCTGGCTGCATCGCGCCACGATAGCACTGACTCGAGCATGAAAAGGTGTGTGAATTGCTCCTCCAATCACTTACATGCTCGTAGAGCTGTGGCGTGGACAGGTTGCGGTGGACTAACTGCGGTGCCAGGCCAGCCTCCTTAGTAAACTTGCTCTCCATGAGAAATGAGTTGTCAGCGGCTGGTGGCATGTTTTCTTGGATCATGAACTGTAGGCCAGGGACAGCAGCGAATAGAGATAGAATTAAGGAAATCAGTAATACATTTGAGGCATAGAGCGGAATTCAGGAGTCCCGACATTGTGCTGACGTAGCTGTCAACCAACTGGGTGAGCACATTTTGCTAGGAAGTGATCATCCGACAGCATAATCTAATAAAACTGGTTATGCATACGCATAAATGAGCTGACAGTGCTCCGGCTTTTATTTGTTGACGTTTACGATACTCCGAACGACCCGTAACCGCAATACAATTACCCGCATCGTGGTGCCACAGCGTCGATTATCAGAAGGACTGGGTAGGAAACCAGCTTGACGAATTGGCCGCAAAGGAGGAATTTTTGTGCAGCAAGGCGCGACGACAGCTCTGCAGTTCCGGGACGTGACGGAACCGCCTACCATGGATACCGAAGCCATAGCATGCATCATTGTTTGGATCAAAGAGAAAGTTTTAAGCGCCTTTGGTTAAATTCGCTGCGAGTGCCAGTGTATTTACGCCCTTTGGACATTCGGTTCGCTCCAGGAAGGCTTGGCGACTGGGGTTTCAGGCAGCAAGTCCACGTGCTAAGTGCAAATGTATTCATGTATTAGAAGTTGATGCATAGTGTAGGATTGTGGAGTTCAGCGACTGTCATGCCTGATGAGTGATGCGATGAAAATAAAACCAACTTTCGAGCATTTGGACTAGGTCCCACGCCGAACTCGGTTGCCGATGAAAGCGAGTGACCACACTACCATTTGAGGCAGAGCGTTACAGTCACAACAAGCTCCTGCTGACGAAGCCGAGAAGCTTGGGTCGGCCCACTGCGGTACAGCCACATGTATGGCGAACAATATTCTCATGCATTGACGGAACAGGCTCTTTGTAATATTTGCGGGGTTGGGGTCCACGATTTCGCAAGAAGTTAGTTAGCTAATCCATGACAATGCTTGCCGCTAAGAGGCCGGGAGAGGGCGGGAGTCCTGTTGAGCTATGCGTTTATGTGCGCTACATTTTGATGCTCTCAGGCTGTAGCTCCTACGCTATTGATCCTTGATGATAGTACTCCTCTGAACTCCGCCAGGGCGTAGCATTTCATTGACTCAAGAGGTTACTAAACTATTTTCTTTAGTAGGCACAACTGTGCAGGATGCTACATAACAGAATGTGACCAGCGCCAGCCGCAACATGTACATCGTCTCTAGGTTCCCTTCATAGGACCCTAATACAGCTCTCAGGCGCTTCAGAAGCTAGAAAAGTGGAGGGTGCATCTTTTCCCTAGTCAGTACATGGCGAGAAGTGACAAATGTGCATAGTCGTAGCACTGCTGTTGTCGGTTACATAACAGTAAAACTTCATGGGACGCAGTTCCGATCTTCCAAAAGCAGGACGCGAGAGTAAAAGTCAAAAGCCTGCGCTGGCTTGCGTCCGCCGTCGCTCCATAAGCATTGCGATGCAGGGGGCTTGCGAGCTGGGAAAGCAGTTTCAACCATTCCGCAAGCCTAGGATCGTCGATTGCTGCTGAACGTATGCCGGGGCCCCAGGCTTATCACATAATGAATCTGTAATGACGTAAGACGACGCGACAATTAGACGACTCTGTTCAACCTTCATTGATGCCGGCCCTTTTACAGGGCAACATATATGATATCCCTGGAGCAGGCATTCAGGACCAGCATCGGCTTGTAAGCTCCCACACACTAAGCAGCAAGTGGTTGCCATCATCCAATCCTGCTCCACTTGCCATCATCCAATCCTGCTCCAAAACAAGGACACGGCCCCACGAGGAAGCGAAGCCCAGCACACGATCTACAAAGCAAAGTCTTTGGAGGAGGCCTCATCGCTCAGGTACCCACGGAGCGCCAGCTATGGAGCACGCCCTAGCCAGCATCCCTTGTACCCCGCGGCGCGGGAAACAACATGCCAGCAGGGCAAGGTGTGGTGTGTACCTCACCAATGCACACAACGACCTGAAGGAGACGGCATCGAAAAACGCAGCAGAAGAAAGGAATTTTGAATGGTAAGAAACCCTGCGTGTACTTGTCATGGCATGATGCAGGACGTCGTGGCATAATGCAGACAGACATCATGGAAAAATACCTCTCCAGGGGTGCAGTCATATCCGTCCTTTACAATCAGTCCCTGGCGACGGCACGTCAAATGCTCACAGAACAAACAGAGCCAGGAAGCCAGGCTTGGCCCATCCGTACTGCGTTGCTGGTTGCCACGGCACGACCAGACGGGACGGCTAGCATGCAGGCACTTCACTCTACAGGCGAAACCTGACACACCGCGGTACACGTCCGCTGGGTACGGGACAAGTAGCAGCACGCGACGCATATGCGTGCATGCATACGTGGTTGCGCGCAGTCACAACGGACAAGGGTAACTGCTGACCTGCCTCCTTAACCTGGTGTGCGTGCTGACGTGGACGGGACATGAATGTAGGAGTGCTTATCATGATGAAACGATGTGCTGTGTAGTTCAGCATCAAGACGGCCGCCTGCAGGCAAGACAGGCAACATGGCACTGCATAGGGTGGGACACAGGCTGGGGGACCATTGAAGATGCGGAGCCGCTGCTGCATCCCTCCACCTAGTGCTGCCTGTTACGACAAACCAAGCTGTTATCCTTCCAAGCCCAGATCCAGATAGCCACCATTAAACATAGTCATGCCAAGCGACCAAGCAGACTAGGGTTTTCCCTGTCACATGGATTGTTTAAGCAGCCGGCAGCGGTCACCGATCTACACAAGTCTTACCATGCACGCGGAGTAGGAAAGCGCAAGGTTCACTGCTCCGTCGCAGAACCACGCTGTTGCGAACATCACCATGCTGCCTGCAGTCGGACTTGCCGGGTAGCAGAAGACATTCTTGCTTCTCTTGACCACAAAGGTAGAACACTGCGTGGATGCTATTTGATGCGCTTCGCAGCGCATTCTTGGCTGGCCAGGTACCAGTCCCGGACGTTAGAGCTCACCACAGGAAGTCCGACCTAAACCGTCATTACGGTGTCATCAATACTCCGCTGCCACAAGTCATTTTGGCCTGACCGTCATTCCGCTATGGCGCGTTGCTGTGGACGCAAGCATGCGGACAAAATCCGCATCGAGGACACATGGGGCGCTTCCACCAATCGTTTCCGGTCCCGGCCATTGCGACCCTTGCACTTGCGGTAGATGCGCTCCGCTGCGCGGACCAGCGCGATGACATCAGTCGGGGGAGGAAATCGGTTGACGAACTGCAGCGAGTCGAGAGCGTTAAGGGCCAGCAGCAGCGGCTTTCACTTATCCAGGCGCAGCACACCGGGAAGATGGCGTCCTTCAGCTCACGTGTGTTACGCCCCACGCGGTGCCATATGGGTTGGAAGTTGAACGTGCATCCTTGCCGAACCTTTCAATTTGCATGGCCCCATGTGCTTCTCGCTATGAACTTTCTGGGAAGGGAGCGATGCTCCGTTTAAAAACATCAGCTAAGGCATCTTTGCGTGCATTGGCCACGCACCTGCACCACTTCTTCCATAGAGCGGCAGGCCAACAGGCTCTTACGGTGCTGAAGCAGCGCTGCCGCCACCACATACAAGCAAAGGTCCACACGCGCGACAGCAGCTCCAGCCTCGTGGGCCTGGGGTGGTGGCTGCTGTGGGCGCTCCTTCCTACGCGTGCACTCGCAGCAGGGGCTCGATGGTCGCTTGACATCTGCAACACCGCGACATGCGCTGCGCGGTCGGAGTGCTCCAGGGACGTTTACCACAGCTGCAGGTGGTGCGGGTACCGTTTCTACAGCTTCTCGCGTCATTGGTACGGGTACTCCGTTTGCGTTGTGTTGGGCTTGCGTGTCGAGCGCGGCTGTGTGATTCCGGGGCCACCGGCTGGCCCGTGGATGCCGGGACAGCAGTTCCTGGGTGAGAATCTCCTCGCTGGCCCACATGCATTCCCAAAGAGTTAGCACGTCTCCCAGGGGCACTTCTCGCTTAAGCTGCAGGAAAAGCATTTGAAAAGCAAAAACATTGCTTCCCGCGCCAATCTGCACCAGGTGCCTGCAGGTAGGGCAAGTTATGGGCCAGGAGAGGCTGTGATCCGTAAGGTTTGGCATGTGGAGATATGCTTCTAGGGAGGGCGCATGTTACCGGACCATTTCGTAGGTCTGCGGAAGATCTCTTCATCTGGGTCGGCCCTTATCGACAAGAGCAATCAGGGTTTGAGGGTGACCCACTCTGCCATGTTCGACGGGGATTCTCGCACCCCCTGCCTTGCGGAGGTCTGCAAGCTTCTGCGTGTACTGAAAGGTGGACAGTTGCCAGCGCACCTGTGTAATTGATTGTCAACACACTCAAGGGTGACACCCAGTTGCTCCAGTTGACAGTGGATATATTGCATTCCAGGGAGGAAGTTTCTCCGCATTCGTCCCATGAAGGCGCGGAAGACGGCAAAAGCCTGCGAGGTGTGGCCCTCTGGACACTTTTCGTGACGCGCAATCTATAGGGCACCTATACGCACCATTTCGTCGTCTGCACGGTACAGCTCGAGAAACGGGACTGCGAGGTCGGCCATACCCTGGCAGTAACCGACTTCACCGTCGTGTAAGGCATAGGCAATGAGCATACGTCTTAGACGCGCGATGCCATCAGCCCGCTGATCACCGCGTAGCGTGTCAGCCTCGTTGGATATCCGCTCGGCGTCCCTGGAGATGCGCCCAACCGTCTCCTCCCAGCTCTCTGTGCATCCCTGACACAGTTGAACCGTGTAAACGACTTCATGGTGCATCAGTATGAACACGTCCCGTGCGCAGTCCAGTCAAAATTCAAACATTCTTTCGTAATGTCACATTCGTGGCTTTAAGGCCAATACCGGACCTTATTTGTGTACATTGCTCTTGCGAGTTCCGCGTTACTGGCGACGGTAAGGAGCTCTGACAATGGTAAACCGGCATGTGTTGACAACACAAAATTTGGCCATAGCTGCGCACGCAAAGCTGGACAAAGGCCTTTAGAGCGCATGGATGGCCAAAGTGAGTCCCTTGCTTGGCTATCGGCAACGGCGAGGCCGTATGCTGGGTGAACGACATTTCGCTTTGACCGCCTCAAGAATTTCATGTATTAAATGCTGAAGAAAAACGCTTTTCTCTGCCAGGATGGGTGCGCATTTAGAAATAGCGAACATGGTCCAACGGACTTGCTCGACTTGCCGTTCGTCCGTTGCAGGACAACCGAATGCTCCCCCTCAACACTGTTTGTACAGATACGTGTCGTCTGACAGGTAGTTACTTTTATTACATGACTTCATAGGCCCTTTGAAGCTGCAAAGCATCGTTGTCTGGGGCTAAGAGCCCCTACGGTTTCCTTGCGCTTGTTAATCATGGCCATGGCACACGATACACTTGAACGCGATGCCCTCTTTAAGAAGCTGAGGGCAAAGCCAGAGAACAAGGTGATCAGGCTTAGCCGTCTGGTGATGTAACAGCAGATGCGACGACTGTGTGCCTGAGTCTCAGCAGAACTTGGCTCCGCCTGTAGGTCTGCTTTGACTGCCCAAACAAGAATCCCACGTGGGCGTCAGTCCCCTACGGAGTTTTCATCTGCCTCAACTGTGCGGGAATCCATCGCAGCTTGGGAGTGCACATTAGCTTTGTTAGGTATGGTCCAACCATGCAGAAGAGGCCTTCCCATAGCTACATCAATAATAATATAATTGCTGTTGCGCAGGTCGACTACTCTGGACTCATGGACACAGGAGCAGCTAAAGGTGGGCGAAGCCTTTTGCAGTCGCCGCTTCTGTGACAAGTATCCCTAATATTGTCCCTCTTTCAACAGCTGATGGCTGCTGGTGGTAACTTGCGCGGACGGCAATACTTCAAACAACACGGTTGGGACGATGTCGGATCGGACAAGATAGAGGCAAAGGTGAGGCCCCTTATTGACATGTACAAGTATCTTCTTCTGTCGAGATAAGGACTGAAGCTAACCGATATGGAGATATACTCGCAGTATACTTCGCGCGCTGCTCAACTGTATCGCGCGCTCCTGGAGAAGGAGGCGCAGAAGGCGACGGTTCAGACCTTGCAGCAGAGGTACGTTGCGCAACCAGAGGGCCCTGACTCTCGCAAACCCCTTAACCACGGCACCTAACAGCACGTAATTTGCCCACTCAGCATTGCCCACGAAAAAGATGGACACCGCGCCGACCATCAAGGGGAGCTACCGGATTTTAAACACATTGAGCCGGAGCCTGCTGTCCCCGAGGCTCTGTCCGCGATAGAGGGGGAAGAGGCTTCTGGAGTGGAAGCGGCGAAGCCTGCCGTACCGAAGCCGGTGGCTACCGTCAAACGTGGGTCTCATGCCAGAGTGATGGGTTTCATCGTAACGGGTTGCATGCCTTGCAGATCAACGTTAAACCTCGTAAGGAAAAGGCCAGAGTATACGAGCACACGATATGGCTGAAGCGGTCGCCTTTCCTGTAGGTGCAGCCTTAGCATGACATGTTTTCCATTGTCCACCGAAATATGTTTATAACTTATTTTGGATTGTCAACGTGCCGTAAATGTCAACGACTCATATGTTTTGGTGTCGTCGGGAGCGCCACTCACAAAGCTGCCATTCCCGGGCGCATGAAGTTGTTGCCATACCGTGCCAACTCTCCATGTTTCTGCGACCGGGTCGCTGCCTTGCGCCTCCGCGATTAACAGCCCGCCCGGTGGCGAGCGGAAAGAAGCCAGCTGGAAAGCTGGGTTTGGGCGTGAAGAAGTTGGAGAGCAAGGTGGACGACTCAATCTTTGCCCAGGTACGACAGATGAGCACAATCGTGAAACGGCCACAGCTTTTGTATAAGACTTTGTGGTCAAAGCTGCTGTGACAATCATTTGCAGTGTATGTGCTACCGATTCGCCAGCTACGCCGCTTCCTGGCCGCTTATATTCCCTGGCCTTTATGACCCTGTTTGGTACGTTGCTTACCAGTCCGGTAAAGATGTCGCCCGGCCATATCTATAAGTCCTTTCGTTGTCCCCGCCTTATGTCCGTGCAGGCGCCAGCGCCTGAGCCAGTAAAGCCGGAACCTGGGGCTGCAGGGACGGCAGCAGCGGTTTCAACGAGCGGAGCTGCTACCGGATCACGCTTTTCATATGACACGTTGACGGCGGTGAGGGGACACCAGCTGCTGTTGATGGGGGCCCTGTTATGCGATCGTGTTTTCTTATAGATGCGGGAAGGTCAGAAGACGGCGTGTCTTTCGGTTTGTACGGTTCATGGGGTGGGTCTATACACCAATCATCTTCCTTGCTGTTTTTTAACGGGATCCATTGATTCAAGGTAGAAGGCAAGTTTAATGATAGCACCGAGAGATGTTTTATAGAAGTTTGGGACGTGAAGCTGGGGTCAACTGCCGCCTAGGAGTGACCTCGTCTCTGCTTGCATGTCAGGACACACCTGGACTACAGCGTGGCAAGGACGGGCACTTAACCATCGGAGGTGGCATTGGCACGGACTTCTTCTCGGCCCCTGTGGCAAGGTCAACAAACCGCTCCGGCGGTGGTGCTCCTCCCAAGGCGGCAGAGCCGGCGGTGCAGGATGAAAAGGTGTGCTGTCGGAGGGGATTGAAAGCAATGAAATGCGTGACTAGGGAAAGTCCAATCTTGGTGGGGTTCCTTGGCCCGGGCCTTTCCTTATAATCTTTGGACCCAGCAATGACAGGGCCGGATGTACCCAATGGCAGTTGGCCGACGCCGCCCTTTTCGCAGCATGCACTTGGGCAGCAGACAGCGCAACAAGGTACCGTCCTTGCGGTGATGCGAGTGCCCCGCCATTTTTACTCGCCCTGCTCATGAGAAGTGCCGCCGACAGTATTGCCTGGCCCACGTCTCAAAACTGCCCTGGAGCCGGACCGGTGTCTGCACTGTATGCTTCAGCCATGTGATTCGCCCCAACATTCTTGCCTTATCGTCGCCGCCGCATCTTTTCATCGAACCAGTTAAAAAAGATGGCGAACGCCAAGGCCATCTCCAGTCGCGACTTTCAGCAGCAGGACGCGGAGGCCGAATACGAGCGCCAAGCGCGACTGTCCAAGTTCCAGAACGCGGCGGCCATCTCTTCCGCAGACTATTTTGGACGGGAGGAGTCTCGCGGCTCCGGTGCGGGCGGTGATTTAGATATTTCGGCTGCAGATATCGTGAACCGCCTGTCATTCCAGGTGAGTGCTAGACTTGGACGATACGCCGAGGCGGCAAATGCGGACATTGAGAGGGAACTGAAGGAAAATCCAATCTCTGGGCCAGTTCGAGAGTCCAGTTGCCAGCCGGTCTTTGTCATCACGGACACGAGCGGCAAGAGGTCCTGTCAACCTTTTTGCAGCAGCGGCGGCCAGCGACAAGTTGTAAGATATGTCCGCTGCAAGATTGTGTGTGCCTGCCGGCTGGGCTTGATAGCGCGAAGCCGTCAAGTGGCAGCGTTGTATTTTGTGGAACGTTCCGCAGGCTCTAGCTTGGCCAAGTGCGCTATTGAACCGGCTCCTCCCGTTACTGCCGCCATTTCGGCCCACAGGCGAAGCAGGATATGCAGCAGATGAAGCAGATGGCTGCGGCCGCAACAAAGAAGTTCACAGGGATGGCCTCCAAGCTCATCGGCGACTTGAACCGGCTCAACGGCTGAACATTGAACTTTGCGATGGGCTGCTGACAAAATCTTCTCCTGTCTGCTGCGGTTAGGCGCAAATCTTGTAAACACGCACATGCTCCGGTTGAGCTACTGGAGCACGCGAGGTGCAAAGCGCCATGCTGTTCGTATGGTTGTCCCGACTTTGTGCATGATTTCATGTCTTCAAGACGTTCTCCTCTTGCGTTAGGAGGGGATCCTGTGTTTAGTCTTTGTGCTGCCCGGGGATTGCTTAGTGGGGCGTGTGGGGGCAGAGGCGACCTTGGGGACAGGCAGGGTGCGGGGCGATGACCTTGAGTACCCTTGCCGTTGGATGGTCTTGACGCTAGGCTGAGAAGCCGAGCCAGCTTGTGTCTCTTCATGCTGGTTGGCGATCAAAACATGATTTATAATCTGCCCGGTTTGCAGTGACGCAGTGGATTTTTTGAAGGTTTCTTAGCACAGAGAAGGGAGCGGTGGAAGGACTAGGCGCGGAGCTGTAGGCTTTCCCGCAAGCATCTTTCAAGCTGCTTCCCCAGCTACTTGCGTCTGGTTTGGCAGTCTGCCAGGGGACAACACAGGCTGCGTGTTCATACTGATTGGTCGAATTTTCGGTGCTATGTGTGAGATGACTGCCGTACTGCTAGGGATGAACCGACTAGAAATCGACGTGGCCCGTGGGTTAAGCGATAAGTAACCAACCAAACTCTGAACTTGAAAGGCGATCTGCGTTGTAATGAGTTCGCATGGGTATACCCCTGTACGAAGCAAAGGCCCCAGACATATGTTACAGGATAATGTTTTTCGAATGGGAGAAGGCATGCTCACCTCCATCATATGCGGAAGAAACATTAACGACGATTGGGTATGAATATATATTCATCCAAATTTGCAGGTCAAGAGTATCCGACCACAGACATGCATTGGCGGCCGAGTCAGCAATTATGATTAAGGCTTCTCAGCCCACATTACACCTCCTTCGCGACTGCCGCTGGCATTGCTAGCCCTAACGCGGCCCCCATCCCGGAGTGATGTTGCCGTACAATGCCGCCGTCATCGCCCATCCGTAGCCACCTGTTGTGACCTCGCCACTTCCTCATCGCGAACAAGGGGAGGGTCCCCCTTGAAACTGCTGTACGGCGCTGCTCCTCCAAGGGGTTCGCCAGCGGCGTCATCGCTACCGAGGCCTGGCGATGACGAGTGCACTGGCCCGCTATCCTCGCGTCGCAACCTGCCCGGCGTTGCGCCACCGCAACCAACCTGGTAGGCAAGGACACGCGAGCTACGTTAGATTACGTCAGATTATGAACCCCAAACGCTACGCATATCCGCAAAAAGGGCCAGGACATCAAGATTGAAGTTGAGGTTTCCCCTGTTGAGGAAGGCAGGCAACTCCTGAAATTGCGGGGTCTTCATATCTGCTTCAACACTTCTCTGCACCAGCGCTTGTCACCAGAAAAATACACGCGGACCAATCAGCATAAACCTAACCAAAGCGAAAGGTTGTATTGTGCAATGACCTATGCCCTCACCCGCATTCGTCGCACCAGCCGCCGCCACTTCCGCCGCACCGCCCGGCTCAGGCCCCGCAAGCCGCGGTGCACCGTACGGCGGTACGGCAGGATGTACCGATCGTTCAGCACCTGAAGCACGTACGGTAAATCGTAGACTGCTTTTATGCGTGGATCATTGCGCGGATCCAACGCCGGGTCATCGTCGCTATCGCTATAATCGCTGCTGTTGTCGGCAGCAATGTCGCCAGTGCCGGCGTCGCCTGCACGCTTGCGCGCTTCTGCCGTGGCTGCCAGCGCCGACCAGTGTGTCAGGCCGCGCTCGGCGGCCGTACCGGAGATGAGGTTATCCAGCAGGAAGGCACACACCAGCGCCACGCACATGGGCGTGGAGAAGAGTGTGTTGGCGATGTCTGCGGGGTTGCGTGCATGTGCGGCGGCGAGCTGTCCCTTGCTTATCCAAATATCCATTCAAGGTAGACCAGCACATGCTTAGGCAGCGGGAAAAGGGAACTGGAGCCCAAAAACGAAGTACGCGGCTGCAGAACTGTGTCCAAGCGGTCAAGTCAACCCAGGTTCAAAACCCGTATACTGCAGCAACCTAGACGGTTCTCCTTCCCTCCCAACCTCCCTTACATCCCCTCCCTCCCCCTTGTAACCCGGCACCAGTCGCCGTTTAACTCGAGTCATATAAACTAATTCATTCACAGCGCAGCACAGCACAGCACGGAACACTGCACTCGGTGCAGCGAAAAGCCCTCACCATTGAAGGCGCGTGACGACGTGGCGATGGGCCCAGCGCCACCGTGTGTTGACAAGAATGAATCAAAGTAGTACGGCACGGATAACGCCATGTAGATTGCAAACCCCACGATGAATAAATTGCGGCTGCTGTTTTGGTCCGTGAACTGCAGATTGCTCAGACCCACCTGCGCGTGCAGCGACACCCGCACAGTGGCGGGCAACGGGACATCAGCTTCCTCAGAGGGGCTCCAAGGGCGGGAGCTCTGCCACTGGCTGTAAGAATATGTACTGGGAGCGGAACAGAGCGGCTTTACAACTCTACTGGGAGTGGCATAACCACACTTGCGAGATTCGTTGGCACCACGGCTTTCGCCCCAAGCAATGGAAACACAAGGATGGTGCCGGGGAGAAGAAGGGTGATGGAAAATCAGGGTTGAGAGGGTGCTTGGCACAATGCAAGGTCCACAATCGCCCAAATCCCACCCTACCCACCAATACTGGGCCCCTCACTCACCCATCCCCGGCCCGGGGCCCCACCCACCGCTGCAATCAGGCCGAACACACTGCAGAACAGCCCGGATACAATGGAGGGAGGCAGGGAGGCGAACAGCCCACCGAACTTCCCGAAGACGGCCAGCAGCAGCATGATGGCTGCACCTGCCTGAACCACCCGCCGACTGCCGACCCCCGTGAGACCTGTGGGGAGCGGGTGGGTGCTAGGCGTGTTGGGGGAGGTAGGGGTGGTGGTAGGGTAGGCGAAGGACGGCGGGGAGGTGTGGAGTGCCAGGACCGACAGACAGACAGACAGGGAGGTAATAAAGAAATATACATTAATTTTAATACAATATAATTACAATTGAATAACACAATATATATAATGCAATATATCTAATACAATAGGCCGAAAGGCAAGGCAGATAGGCAGGAACAGGCCCGGAGTTAAGGCCGCTGGGTTAATTATAAAGGCGAGGAGGCGACGGGCGCTGGGCGACAGGAGCGGGCTGGTTGTGTGGTGGGGTCCAGGGGGGGATGGGGGGAGTGGTTGATAAATTGCGGGAGGCGCTGACTTCCCCCTCACCGATGGCGCCAATGTTTTCTGCATACGATGTGGTGCCGTTGCCAGTCCCGAACAGGCCGCACATCAGGCACCCCAGTCCCTCGGCGCCGATACCCCGACTGATCACGTGGGGGGGGGGCACAGGTGCGCCACTCATGCGCGCACACGCGTAGTAGTCGCCCGTCTGCGAGAGCCGCAAATACACAGGCGGAGCGGGGTGGAGAGAATAAGGACAAACAGACAAACAGACAAACAAGCAGCCGGGGGTGCAGAGGAAATGGCCACAGCTGTGTCCCCAGGGTCGGGTCGTTGGTCGCCACCGCTACCACCCGGGCGCGGCTTCCCCAACTCGCTGACACCCGTCCCTTAGACCGCAAAACCGTAAACTACTAGAGAAGCCTAAATATCTTTTAGGTCCCAAGACTCCACTCACGCTCTCAATCATGGCCGCCAGGGCCCCTGCCAACATGGTGACGATGGACGCGGGCCGGAAAATGGGGGAACCCCATTGAAGCGGGTACGGCACATACACCCACGGCGCGTCCTTGAGCGCCTGTAGGTTGTCGGTCCGGCAGCTCGCCTGGCGCCCGGGGGAGGTCTTGTCGTACGCTCCTGCCGCCGTCAAAATGCCTGCGGGTCGACGGGTCGCCATCGTCACCGTCACCGTCGTCGCCGGAGGACCTCACGCACACACACACACACACACACGCACACACACACACACACACGCGCGCGCACGCCATGAGGGCGGGGGGCGGGGGCCTCCGTTGTTGGCTGTGGACGTCTTTTCCAACTCCCCATGAAGTGCACACCACTTTCTCTCCCCCCCTCGCCACACACACACACACATACACCCTCGCATCTGGTATTGCATTAGGAAATGCCCTTCAAGTCTCCCTCAGTCGGACCCCCTGTCCCACAACCCACAACCCAACCTCCCCCCCCCCACACACACATACACACAGCAAGGACCGCCTCACTCCAATGCTGCACCCCACCCAACCCCACCTCTCACCCGCCATAGCCCAGCTCAGCAAGATGCTCCACAACAGCGGAAATAGCTCAAAGATGCGAACTCCGCCACCGCTCCCGTAAGCGATGCCACCGCGCCGCCTACCGCTCCTTCGCGTCCCCCGGCCGACATCCGCCGACAATGACGACTCCACGTCCCCCAAATCCCTAAGGTCCCCACCCAGTAAGGCGGGGGAGGAGGGCGGGCGGGAGGAGGGGGGCAGCAGCCACGCGGGCAACGGCACCTCCACCTTCTTAAGGACCTGGGGGAATCCGGAGACGGTGCGCAGTGTGGGTGCTGGGTAAAGTGGATTTTAATGGAGGTGAGGTGAGGTGAGGTGAAGGGTGAGGTGAGGTGAGGTGAGGTGAGGTGAGGTGAGGTGAGGTGAGGTGAGGCGAGGTGAGGTGAGGTGAGGTGAGGTGAGGTGTGAGGTGAAGGAAAAGGTGCTAGTTCAGGTCGTCGGGGTGGATTGATTATGAAAGGTAGGGTTGTGAGCTCCGAGTCGAGTTAAATGTCCTAGGAGCTAAGAGCGGGTTTTGGAGTGGCTTTGGCACAGCGACGAAGACGTATTGCGACGCAAGAGGTCGGATGGCCGCGCAAATTTGCGTGATGTGTGCCTCCGTACATGGTTTGTCGTCGTTGTACGGTAAGTGTCGTCCACAAAAGACTGTCGTACCTGACTGAACATGATGACGGCCACAATGGACATCAGGCCTTGCTCCACGCACTGCGTGACGCCCGGAAAGCCTGCTGTGTAAAGCGACAGGCCCACCTGCAGGAGCCGGGAGACGCACCAGTGCATTGCACACGCGAGGATGTAATATCTGTATGTATGTCTCCCACGACAACAACATTACAGCGCAAAGGAAACACATCTACGCGGCCGCTGCGTATTGGCGCGCTGACCCCTACGCCTGCACATCCCTCAGCTTCAGCTTCGTTAGCACCCCGCCCTCCTACGCCACCTCCACCTCCACCTTCCCCTTATCGCACCTTTCTCACACCTCCCTCTGCCCCTTAACCCCAACCCGCCTCAACCCACCGCACACCGTGGTAGCCCCACCCTCACCCACCATACATACAGTCGGCGCCACCACAATGGGCGACACGAACCTCAGCAAGGCGCCCATGACCCCCGTGTACCCGATCGCCAGGACCACCAAGCTGGATCCGATGATGGACCCTTGGAGTTCCCGCATCGTGTACTGCAGGCGGCATGCACGCACGCACGCACGTGTGTGTGGGGGGGGGGGGGGTGAAAGGGGATCCATGACCCAGAAACCCCCCAGGAAACGAGCACGAGCACGAGCACGAGCACACACTGGTGGTGTGGGTGGGGAGGTGGGGAAAGACGAGAACCACGAACAAGTGAAGCTGCTGCCAGGGCAAGAGAAGCAGAACTGGTGGTGTGGTGTGGGGAGGTGGGTAGGAGGGCCAATGTGCGACGGCTGCACGCGAGACAGCGAAGTTGGCCTGCGGGTTATCGTGGTAGCCGCCACACGGATCACCCTCGGACGCGACAACCCCCGGGCCCGTCCCGTCACCGTCCCGTCACCGTCCTGTTACCGCCATCCGTGACAGCAGCGGACAGCAACGGACAGTAACGCATATAACCTTTCAAAAGCCCCCTCTTAGAAGCCCCCTTTGCGTCCCTCTTCATCTCCGCCATCATTCCCCAATCTTCAGACCGTCCCCGTCCGGGGGGGAACACACACCATGAAGCGGTCATGTTCGGAGGCGAATGACCGGGTGGCTCGGATGATGGCGATGATGCTGAACGCCGGTTTGAGGAAGGAGAACGAGCCGCCCTGAACGATGGGCAATCGGTCGCCGATGGTCGTCTGGATGAGCGTGTTGAGACCGCTCACGAAGAAGATCCTGCACGCCGTGAATCCACACGGATCAAAACACACTTCCCTCTCCCCTCCCCCGGCCCCCTGGTCCCTAATCCGCACCCCCGGCGTATCCCCGGCTCACGTCTGCACCACACGGGCGTGGTCTGGAAGGAGGAGGTGGGGCCCCCCCCATCCCCAGGACGTTGCAAGGACAGCAAACGCCGGCGCCCGGAGCGACCACCGACAGCAACACCAGCATCGTCATCAACAACAACACGCCCATGAGAGGCGGCCGTGCGGCGCCACAAGGGTCGGGGTCGCAGATTTGAAACCGTTCGCCGCCAGAGTCGCAATGACAGCCGAAGCACAAGCCCGAATCCAAATCCGAATCCGAATCCAAGTTCGAGTCCAAATCCGAGTTCCCCAGTCGGCCAGACGGAGTTCGTTCAAGTGGAGCCGCACGGGGGCCGCAAGCGCGGAAAAGGGCAAGGGAGGGTTGTGGGTGAGAATCGCACCACGGGAAGGGGAGGAGAGGGGAGAGGAGGGGGCCTCAGGTGTCACGCGCGGCGTCAGAAGGAGGTAGTGGTAGCGGCGACTGGGCCCCGGAGCCTCAGGCGGGATGAAAGAGGGGAGCCAGGAGCGGCCCGACGGGGCATAAGGGCATAAGCAAGGGTAGGCCGCAGGCAGCTGGCGAGGGAAGGGAGCAGAGAGGCAAAGCGGAAAAGGGTGAAGGGCTGATAGGGGCGACGCAACACGTTGGGCACATTCAGAGCCTCCGTGAGGGGACGAAATGCTGGCGCTGGCGCTGGCGCTGGCAGGAATCAATCAACTTGGTAAAACAGGCAGGCAGGCAAGCAGGCAGGCAAGCAGAGATCCCGCGATCAACAGGTCACAGCAGTAACCCTAACATCCCATTCCACCCGCATCGCCCGTACACTTCTGATTCACACCAAGCCGGCATACTGACAGGTCAACAGGCAGGGAGAGCGACGTTTAGGCTTCCTCCGTCTTTGTGACCCGTATCCTGCACCTGCACCTGCACCTGCACCTCCAGCCCAGCCCAGCCCAGCCCAGCCCAGCCCAACGCGTTTTCGGGGTCCCCAGGACGGCCCTTGACACCTCCTGTCCTCACCTCGCGGGGTGCCGCCCATCGCGGGTACCAGGAGCGCCGGAATCACGATGGTGGAGCCCAGCATGGTGAGGTAGTGCTGCGAGGGGGCAGGCATGGGAAGATGGAAAGGATTGCGGTGAAAACGAGCTTGGAGCGGCCAAAAAAGGCGCGATAAATGGGAAAGGAAGATGGGGTTTGCCTTCTGTTGGGTGGAAGGCTGAGAATCCCAAACGATGTTACAGTGCGTCCGCGTACACGTTCTGGTCGCAGCGTAGGGAGGTTGGCGGCGGTCTGCCGATCCGTCCGCCCATCCGCCCATCCGCATTTCATCCCCGGGAGCTTTCCATGCGGGTGAGAAGGCGGGGTTTGATGGTTGACAATATGTCTGTGTGTGTATGTGTGTCTATGGGTGGAGATAGTCAGCCTGGTGGGGCTTTTCATGGGGAGCTGGCAGCTGCCGAACCACGGCACCTCGCCGGGCACCAAAGGTTCGTAATCTACGTAATCAGCCCTGCAGTATGGTGGTAAGGCCCCATAGTGGGTAGAAATTAAAAACGGGAGGGGAGGTAGCGTCCATATTACCATAATATGTTTCACCTGGAAGCCCAGGATGAGGCAGACGTGCCAGGGGGGAACGTCTATGACGGTGTAGCGCAACGAGGGGAGCCGGGAGGTGCTGGCAGGCACTGCGCCATGTGGCCGACAGCCCTCCTCGCTGGAATCGCTAACGGCGCTGCTGTTACTGCCGTAGCCGGTGTTGCGGCTGTGGCCGAGGTCAGTCGCAGTGTTCGGCTGCAAGGCAGCACGTGGCGTGTTGGACTCCCCAACTAAAACAAGGGGAAAATTCCATAAGATGTTAAGGTAGGATACTCATTTGAAATCTGAAGGTTTAAACTGTTTGAGGCGCACCAGCAGTAGTCGCCCTGCGCAAGCCGGACAGGGGTCGCTTATCCAACACATCCTGTGACCCGCGTTCGACTTCAAAAGATCGGCTGGAACGTGCCTTAAACTCCATAGCTAGGTTGACAAGGATGTGTGCAATTTGGCCTAACTCTTCGCCTTGCCTAAATTGTCAAGGAAGACGTTACAACATCAGAGTTTAACTGACGTCTACATCGTTCGTAATTTAATGAGCATGTAACATTTCTAGCCACCTGTAACTTATGCAGCAGTGATCCTTAGGGGAGTCGGGACTCCCTCGTGTACGACTGGAAACGGTTAGCGACCAGTGGCTATGATGGCTAAAAGGACATGATGAGGGCCAATATCTTAAACTTTCATGTAATGGACGACATCATCGTCCATCCACACAGCAAAGATCTGGGCAGCGGCACGTGTTGGCCACTGTCCAATGCACGATGTGTTGGCCATTGTTAGGACGATTTGAAATGAACAGCTACGGTAGTCGCCATCCTACATGCGAAGTACTATGCAAATACGCGCCCCTTGAACACACCCTGAACGCCTTTGCCTCACGGAACGATACCCACCGACATGACATGGTGCACGAAGGACGCATTTAGCCAGCAGCACAGTAGTCCTTGAGGCACATCGACTTTCCCTTACTCCGAATGGACTGACTTTAAGCACCGGATTAAGCAGAAATGGCACCAACGCCCATAAGCAAAGGCGCCGACAGCTGATATGCACTGTTCGTACGGCCATAGCAATAACCGCTACAATCACAGCCCATTTAGGCTTTCGTCCGCCAGGCAGCGGTGCTACAAGGAGATTTAGCCACAGGATATGGTATGCAGTAGTCCTTTGAGTCCTGCCAGCAAACCGGAGAACGCGTTCACCTGCCGCCGTTGCCACTGCTGCTGCTGCTGCTGCCGCTGCTGCTGCTGCTGCACATAGCGAAACATTAGGAACTGGGATTGTATCCGAAACATATAATATCATGAACGCCAATGGACCGTCACCCTGTGACACACAACTTTTCGCCGTGCCCACAGTCATGCCAAAGCCATATCGCCCCGACGGACGAACAGGTAAAATATGAATTACCGAGCCCAACCATAATTATCTCCCACCAAACGTGCCCAAGCTCAGCTTCTCCGCGGTGACCATACCAGCCGTCACCATCACCGCGATCATCACAAGCGTTGAAATTACGTCTTTAAATCCCATTCAGCGCTGGCGTAGGGCGCCTTAACTGGGCGACGTTGCTCTACATATACGGCTCCCGGCCTATGCGGACCCATCGAATGCTCCGGGGCCCTTCGGCCTCTCGGACCCGAAACACCAGCGCGTTGGCAGAGCTACCAGAACGTTACCCAGGCGGTGTCCAGGACTGGAAGGTCCTGGACCTGCAGGTGGGGAGTGGGCTCCTTCTCACGCTCCTCCCTCCACACCCTTTAGTACCACACAAATGCTCAACCCCCTCCTTGGCGGGAGGGCTTCAAAACCTCCTTTGGTAACCGTGCCGCCTGCTGCTGTCTCCCCTCGCGCTTATTAGGTGTGCCAGTGCTGCTGCCGTCCCCAATACACATACACACAACATACACAACATACATACATACATACATACATACATACATACATACATACCCTCATACGAACATTGAGCAATGAGCACGAGCAATTCACACATACACCTACAAAGAAACGAAACAAAACTCGCCCGTGTTATGTAAATCATCGTACGCAGCAAAGCACACTTAACACGTACTGGAACCCAGCCACTGTGTCGAGCGCCACAAACTCAGCGGGGTCCTTCTCCTATCTCCATGTCTCCATGCCATTCCAGCATGATAACCCGCCTACCACCTTACCCGGCCTCCTCGCTCGCAGCCTCAACAACAGCCACAGCCACAGATATGCAGACGGACAGAGGCATACCGAAAAATGGTCACACATGGGGCTGGCGCGCATCAGTCCCTTCCACTCTCGCCCTTGCCACCGCACCCTACAACCACCACCACCACACCACCGCCACCACCATCATCATCATCATCATTACCACCACCACCACCACCCGCGCCACCCAAACCCAAACCCCACAACCATTACCACTCCTTCAACGCCAAAGAGAACACAGCGGCACGCACCACCCGTTGAAACACACAAATCAGGACACTTCCAGCCATCCGGCCACCCGCCTCGTCTCCTTCTCGTTGGAGTTTCCTCTCTCCATCGTCCTCCCATTGGCAGCCAGCCCCCTCCTTGCCCCTCTCCTTTCTCCGCCCCTTTCCGATGTATCCATATGCAGTTCTCCCGCGAGCCATACCGTTCAAAATCCGAAAACCGCCGCATCACCCTCCCTTTCCCTTTTACCTCGATTCCATTCCACTACACAGAACCCAACACATAATACTCTCTCACCCAACGAAATCCCAATTAGCTGCCCGATTCAGCCGTTGTACTCATTTTCAACCGCTCATTCCTGCTTCCCTTTCGACCGGCGATGCTGGCGGCGGCGGTAGGTCTGGCAGAGGCACCAGTGGCAGGCCAGGGAGGTGGCCACGGATAGGCAGGCCAGCCCGCAGCCACGCATCACGGCCTTGCGGCTCCGCGCCGCAGCGCACGGCTCCGTGCCGCCTGCCAGCACCAACCAGCTGCGGGACAGCAGGGGTGCCCTAGCTGCGGCCATCAGCAGCGAGGCCGCTGGGGAGAGCTGCGGAGTCATGCGGGGGGTGGGTGGGTGAGGGAGGGATGGCTAAGGGAGTATGGCATAAAGAAGGGCGCATGGAATGGGCGAGTAGGTGATGGGGAGTGAAGCGGCGCGAGGGCGGGGGTGAAAGTTGGTACGCACAACGAAAAAGAGGAGGGAGAGGCAGCGGGAAAGCACGTGGCCAGCAGCCGCATAAGTGAAAACTGACGTGATGCATCAGCAGCACCAGCACCAGCAGCATCAGCAGCATCAGCACATGTTTGCGGGGCCCGCAGGAATGCGGTGTACCCAAGAACGGGTGGGACGACTGCCCACGGTGTCGTTGCGAGTGGCAATAAGGAAACGCGCAAAGGACATGGACAGAAGGGCAGAGTGACAAGGACAAAAAGAGAAGGGCCGAGGAAGCGCCGCTGGTGGGCAGCCGTGTGGGCAACAGTGTGCGCCGGGGCCCGTAGAGTCCTTCCCCCCTTAACCCATACCTTGGCCCGCAGACTCCATCGCTGCCGCTGCCTCAAAACCCCCATCCCCTTCTCAACCACGGTCCTCGCCATGCCCACATCACCACCACCACCACCACCTCCTCCTCCTCCGCCTCCCCCTCTCTCTCCCCCCACTAACCAGGCTAGCTCCCGGCAGCACCACGCCCTCGAGCAGCCACACCGCCAACCCCTGCTCGTACTTGCTGACGCAGGGCAACGGCCGCCAGGGGGACCAGCCCAGGAGCAGCTTCGCTAGGCAGTGGCTGGCCTGTCACAACAGCAGCAGCAGCAAATAAAATGTTTCTTCGGTTTTTATTAGGAAAATAGATAGGTTTGGGGGGATCATAATTATTTCTGGGGATTTGAACCACGTAAGCATCACCGTCGCCGTTACTACGTTGAAAGACACATAAACAACCTCCATTAAATCTCTAGCCCCATAGTTTCTGTATCTGGGAGTAGCAGTAGCACAGAAGCAGTAGCAGCAGCAGCAGTAACATCAGCGACCATGGAGGGGACGCATATGCACGGAGCAGCGGGACCCGCGAGCCCTCTTCACCGCAGCGGCTGGGTGGCTTAACTTAACACTGGGCTGGGTGCTTATGGAGGGATGAACTGAAGCCTGGACGGCCCCACATGTGACGGCCATACGAGCACGGCCATACGCAGGGCGGAACCGCAGCCACCACAACCCGCCACCACAACCCCGGATGCGGCAGGTCGCCACGAACTCAACACGACAGCGGGGCTCTGTGCGTCCCACATGTAAGCCATGTTTCCCTTCCAAACGAAGTAGTAGCTGAAGTAGCTGTAGCTCAAATGTGATGAAGAGGAGGGGATGCAGGTTCATCGTGTATTCGAAATGCAGTGGCCAGTTGGCCGACAGGACCCCTCTGTGTTTATCGAAACAAACATTCTCACACACACATATATACATACATACACAAACTCACATAGGCACCATGGACAAATCGAGCGCCGCGTCATCATAGGCGAATTATGTAAGGCCTGCATCACACATACACATACACACACATCCCACCTGGCGCATGATGACGCAGCGGCCCGCAACACGCATCCACATCTCCCTGGGCAGCACCAGCCAGGCCGCCGTGCTGGCCAGGCCCGGCGCGGTGCCCAACGCGCTCACTGCGGCGGTGAAGGTAGTCGGCTCCAGGGATCCGGACCCAAATCGCCACTCGCGCAGCAGCCGCCACAGCACCATCAGGAAGGCCAGGGTTTCCATCCATTGACTTGTAGAGCATGCCCCAGGGCGAGGGAGGGGGTTTAGGGGTTAGGTACAGCGGCTGCTGCAGACACGGGAGCTTAGGGAAAAGTTTAGTGTGGTAGCGCGCTCGGATGCCGGGTTCGAGAGGTATTGCCAGCAGTCCTAGGGTACTTTCGTGCGGGGGGCAGGGCAGGGCAGGGCAGGGTGCTCTACCAGCCAGTTTGCATTCGGAGCCCTACACTACGGTGGCCGCGGCCCCAGGACGTCCCTGCGCTGCGGCTCCTTCTGTCCTCCCCACATCGTCTATATACATCACCGCCATGTGTCCCACATGCTTCCACATCGGAAT